ATAAGTCCTCTAGAAAAGGGTTCTTTGAGAATGGGAAGGATTTTAAACAATCTAGATTTGACTTTCAAATCAGAAAGAATTTGTGGGATAGATTCCGCCTATGTATCCCATGATTCTGACCAAAAAAACAGAGGTCATCATGGTACCTATGCTGCAGAATTTCTGTCCAAGTCACATCGCCAAGATTCGTAGTCAAGTATCTCTGGATACCTCTGATATGAGGTGGTTTATGAATTTTAGTAGTTTCGGTCTATGTGCTTACACTCACAAATCTGTTTTTAATTTGTCCTGGTTCTGTCGTTCACTGGCTGTGTGACCCCCAAGCAAGTCACTTCACCTCTTGAGCCTATTTCTTCACCAGAAAAATGGGAACAATAGTAATATCCACTTCCCAGGGTTGCTATGAGGAATGGAGATCGGACACGTAAGCTTCATGCATAGAGCTGTGGCACACGATAGCTGCTCAACCCAAGACACCTTTCAGCCTGATCACTCACGGACACAGAGACATGCAAGCAGCACAGTGATCTTTCCTTCACCAGCTCACATGCTATTAAAAGACAAACACAGGTTCCACTTAACCCCACTCAAATTCCAAACCAAGATTTAAAAAGTGGAAATAAGGTTTGCAGACAGATTTTGAGGCCTTTCTCCAGAACACAGTGTTTGCAGATGAAACTTTTCTAAGTCAATATCAACCTCCCTAGCCTCCAGATGGCTGGAATATCAAATGATCTGATTGACCAACACTGCAGCTGTATTGCTGAAGGGAAGAAAGTCAGTCTGTATTTGAATTACAGTTGTCCACAGCTCACAAACAGGAACTTCAAGGTCCCTTTTATGGGATGAATAAACCTACTTCATACACAGCAAATTTTATCATTCATACCAGGTTTGTTGGTTATCAGAGACATGCATATCTGTTTCCTCCCTGAACACAGCTTTGCAGAGAAAACCATACACAGTAAATAACAACACTCATTAAGCACAAGTAGTCAGTGTGATTTATTTGATTTCCTTACTGCTGGGCACAGGAAGCTCTTGCAGGGCCTGGGAGTTGGCGTTTGCCCAGGCTAGGGTCCAAGGAGAGCAGTCATGTGCATGTGGGCTTGATGTCAGCCCCAGGTCCAGTTCCAATGCCTGATTCCTGATCCCTGGTGGGTCCACTCAGGCTTGAGGCAGGGGTTTGATGGTGGCAGCTTCCCGAGAGCCCCTGCCCGGTGCCTGGCTCCATCTCAGAGGCAGCAGCAAGCTTCTCTCACCAGGCTAAGGAAGAAGGCACAGGGCTGGGCTACAGGGGTAGCTGACTCAGCAGCAGCCATGGGGCTGGAGTACCCTCCTAATGCCAGTGGCCAGGGCGTGCGGTGTGGGGCTCTCGGCAGTGCAGCTCACAGGCAGGCCCTGGGCAGCCAGGGCACGAGCCGTGGTGGGGCCAATGGCTGCAAACTGCAAGGAGGGAAGAGAGAACAGGGCCTCAGCGCACTAGCAGGGATGGGGAAGTAGATGACGGATGCATGCAGGGGCATGTCAGCCAGCCTTTCTGTTAGGACATCACTCCTTACATGAAAAGTTTATAGAAATGACGATGACACCTGACTTGAACCCAGCTTCATGGTCTGCAAAACACCTTTGCATCCACGATCTTACCACAGCTCCGTTACCACCCTGAGTGAGAGCATGCTGTCCCCATAGCTCAGATGAGAAACAAGGATTGAGGGCCCCAGGACTGGCACCTGCCATCATGGCTGCTTCTGCACAGCCCTTCTTTGGAGGCTCCACCTGAAGACAGTTCTGTGCTGGGTGTCCAGGGCCTTGGGTGGGATCAGATGGAGTGGGCTGTGGCAGGAGCAGTGACTGGATCCCTCAGGAGAGCAGAGCAGTCAAGACAAGAGGTCTGGTGCCAGAGGGTGAGGGTTCCAATCCCAGCTCCACAGGACAGTGGTCTTGGCACATGGCTACCCTTTCTGGCCTCCATCTGCTCATCCATAAAACAGGAAGGGTAACAGGACCCTTCCCTGGGCTGCTGTGCGGATCAGTGAGGTGAAGGAGTAGTGCCTGGCACAGGCACACTCTTGATGACTGCCAGTGGCTGCTGCTTGCTCTATCATCATCATTCCAAGCTAGCAGCTCCATGGCCCGGGCCTCATCAACAGGATACCTCTCTCTGAATCTGAACAAGCAGCATATGTTCAATGCTCATGTCCACAGCCAAGCCGTGGACGGAACATTGTTTCTGTCCTGACTCTGCCCCTTACTAGCTGTCATTATAAGTCACTTAGCCTCTATGACCCTCAGGCTCCTCATCCACAAAAAGCAGCACAATTACCCCTGCCTCACAGGACAAGCATGGGGGTTAAGTGAGAAAACATGCAGCTTCTGGCAGAGAGAGGTACTCATGCCCCTCTCTGCTCTCGATTAGAACTGTGGACAATGCACCTGCGTGGGACTGGGTGAGCATCCTGACAGTGGCGGCCCTCTCCATCCTTCCTTTCCAGAGACTGGGAGCCAGGTGGGGTGGTAGAGTGACCACCTCAGGATGCTGTGGGCCTGAGGCTCCCCACTCCAGGGCAAGTCAGGATGAGAGGAGGGAGGCACGGACTCCTGGCCCCATACCCACACTACCAGCCTGCTACGCACCCACTGCTTAGGCAACTCTTACCTCCCAATACACAGAAAAACTGACTCAAAATGGATCAAAGACCTAACTGTGAGAGCTGAAACTATAAAACTCCCAGAAAGAAACATAGGAGTAAATCTTCATGATGTTGGATTAGGCAATGGTTTCTTAAATACAGTACCCAAAGCATAAGTAACAGAAGAACAACTAGGTAAATGGTACTTTATCAAGATTAAAAAAACTTTCATGCTTCAAAGGACACCATCAAAAAAGTGAAAAGACAACCTACAGAATGGAAGACAATTTTTGCAAATAATGTATCTGATAAAGAGCCTTGTATCCAGAATAAAAAACTACTACAACTCAACAACAAAAAGACAAATAATGTGGTATATGAATGAGCAAAGGATTTGAGTAGATATTTCTACTCAAATGAAAAGATGTTCAACGTCGTTAGTCATTAGAGAAATCCAAATCAAAACCATACTGAGAAACTACTAGGATGTCTATAACCATAAATACAGAAAAATAACAAGTGTGGCAAGGATGTGAAGAAATCAGAACCCTCACACACTGCTGGCAGAAATGCAAATTGGTGCGGCCATTTAGGAAACAGTTTGGTAATTCATCAAAATGTTAAAGTTACCATTTGGTCTAGCAATTCCACTCTTGGGTATATACCCAAGAGAAATAAAAACATGTCCACACAATAAATTGTATTTAAAAGTTCAGGATTATTCATAGTAGTCTAAAAGTAGAAACAACCCGAATGTCCAGCAACTGATGAATGGATAAATCAAATGTGGTATAGCTATAGAATGGACTATTATTTGGAAATAAAAAGGAATGAATTAGTGATGCATGCTACAATATGGATTGACATGATGCTAAATGAAAGAAATCAGTCACAAAGGACCACATATTATATGATTCCATTAATATGAAAGATCCAGAATAGGCGAGTGCATGGAGACAGAAAGTCCACTGTTGTCAGAGACTTGGGGGGGAACGAGGAATGAGAGTGACTGCTAATGGATACAGGGTTTCTCTTTGGGGTGATGAAATGTTCTGGAATTTAATAGTGGTAATCATTGCACAACTCTGTGAATATACTAAAAACCACTTATTTGTATACTTTTTTTTTTTTTTTTGTCTTTTTGTCTTTTTTCGTGGCCGGCAACGGATCGCAACCCTCAGTGTCGCGCCCGTACTGGACCGGGACCGGCCACGGGATCACAACCCTCGGTGTTGCGCCCGCATCTCGCTCAGCCAGTGAGCGGCCGGCCTGCATGTGGGATCCGAACCCCTCGGCGGGAGCGCCACCGCGCTTCCCAAGCGGCGCACTATAGCAGTGCGCCACCGGGCCGGCCCTTATTTGTATACTTTAAAAGTATACATATTGAATTCATAGAAAATGAATGTTAAGGTTTGTGATTTATATCCCAAAATAGCTGTTTTTTTTTCCTTTTTGTCTTTTTTCGTGACCAGCAACGGATCGCAACCCTCAGTGTCACACCCGTACCGGACCGGGACCGGCAACGGGATCGCAACCCTCGGTGTCGTGCCCACACCTCGCTCAGCCAGTGAGCGGGAACCGGTCTGTATGTGGGATCCGAACCCTCGGTGGGAGTGCCGCCGTGCTCTCAAGCAGCACACTGTAGCAGTGCGCCACCGGGCCGGCCCCAAAATAGCTGTTTTTAAAAAAAACATTAAAAAAGAAAAAAAAAGAAACTCCCAAAGAATTGGAACCAGCAAATGGCAAACACGATTTCAGCAGAGGGTGAGGTTATCAACAGTTAGGTCACAAAATGACTTTTGCACTGAGCCTTTTACTCCCTCTGAATTCGTAAGTGATCGCAGGACAGTGCCCTATGGAGCAGCGCAGTCTTCCCCACACTGGGCCCCTGGAAGCCCGATGCTAAGGTTCTCTCCCACCACTGGGCAGCACCTGGGGAAAGAGGGCACCAGCTCGGGTGGGGGAGGTCAGCAGGCCGCATTCAGAGTCCAGCTCTGCCTCTGGCTGGTGACCTCTAGGCACAAAGATGGCCACTTCACAGGCTGTGTGGGAGTCAACTGAGAGAAAGCAGGTGGTACATGGGAAACTCAGTTGCTTTTATTAGTTTGGTGATGGGGGTTATGAATTTTCTCACCTGCTGCTTTGGCCTGACTCCTTTCTGGCATTTATAGACAAACACATGGTCTTCCCAAGTCAACTCTAAATAGCAAGTTCAGGTCAGGAGTCACCCTCTTAACCTTCTGTGACCCACCTGCATGTTGTGCAGTGCTGTACAAACAGTGGGTCCTACAAGACTCCTGGGGTGGGGGGAAGGCCACCTAGCAAATGTGGGGCAGAGTTGAGACAGGGAGGCCAAGCTACCCAATCCACGGGTCTAAGGACTGTGTCCTCTGTCAACCTCAAAAACACCTGCACGAGCCAGGGCTAAGTCCCAGTAATAGAAAATGACTCCCACCAGATACACAGTGCCTTCGTGGCTTCCAAAATACTCAAGGTAACTGTGAGCAATGCCAGCTGTCACTCTTTCTCCTCCCTAGCAATGGCAGAGCCATAGACCCTGCTGGCACACTTCATACTGGTGGGTGGTAAACTTAACCGCTGCAGTGAGAGGTGACTTGTGGCTGCTGAGAACCCTCAAGGATATCTGGAAAGTTATAAAAATGGGCAGTGACATATTTAAGATGGGCGCTCACTTAGCCCCCAGCTGCTGTGCCGTCCTGGACAGGCACTCTAAGTTTAGATTTCGACAGTCCATTTGTGCTTCTAAATATGTTTGTTTTGAAAGAAGGAGTATAAGTATATAAATCTTTTGTTCTTCATCGAGGTAGACAAACACTTAGAAGGCTGGAGGGGATCCTGTGTTGTTTATATTACCAGTCTGTCCAGGCATTTCGTGGCCATCATGTAACTTACACGAACACTTACTACAGGTCCAGGAGAGAGGAGGCATGGCACACACGAACAAGGACTGGGTTGGCACCAGCCCCATGACTAATCCCAACCTCCAGTGTGCAGTAAGCGCTCACTATGTGCCAGTTACCGTGCCAAGCACTTTATTAGGTCTTATCTCTTTAATCTTTCTAACTGCAAGATTCAGATATCATTTTCCTTCCCTAGACCCATGTGTGAGTCTTGGGCCTTCCAGTAACTCATGATATGATTTTGGCAAGTTGTTCCACCTCTCCGGGCCTCAGTTTCCTAACCTGTAATGAGGACAGTCACCCCTACTTTCCTGGATACCTACACCTGGACTGGTGAGAGAACTTCATGAGATTCTACCTAAAAGTGCTCCTACCACTGATCAGTAGCTTCTGAGACCATAATGAGGTATCACCATGGCTACCAATGTGGAATCAGTCTTCCCAGGTTCAAATTGTGGCTCTTCCTTCTTGGCAGTGTGACCTAGGGCAGGGCACACAACTTCTCTGAGCCTAACACTTCATCTTTAAAACTGGGAAAGCAGTCTGGACTCCCCAGGTGAGATGCACCTGTGATAAGGCAGTTTCCATAAAGCCCTTCACTTTGCCTAACTGCAGTAAGTGTTCAATGGTGGTGGCAGCCTCTGTCCTTGGGCTCTGGGTCACACCCCCACATTCTCTCCTCAGTCCCCCTTGAGCCAGTTCAAGGTCATTTCCATTACAGGCACCACAAGGGTTGTGATTACTTGTAGACTCATAACAATTATAGTTCCTAAAAAGTATGAATATAGATCCTTTAAATTAAAAGACATGAAAAAAGAGAACACTCTTAGAATAGATAACAACTTCAAAATATATAAATGGGAAAAAAGGAAGGAAAGGGTGCTGACACCTGTACCAAGCCCAGAGCTAAGGACTTTATTTGAATTTTCTCACCTAATCCTGAGGCTAATCCTATGCAAGGAGGACCATACACATGGCTATAAAGGACACAAAGGTGTAATTATCCCCAAGTTACAAATGAGGAGGGCCGGCCCGGTGGCGCACTGCGCTAGTGCGCCGCTTCGCTCCCACCGAGGGTTCGGATCCCACATGCAGACCGGTTCCCGCTCACTGGCTGAGCGAGGCGCGGGGGCAACACCGAGGGTTGAGATCCCGTTGCCGGTCCCGATCCGGTACGGGGGCGATACTGAGGGTTGCGATCCGTTGCCGGACACAGAAAAAGACAAAAAAAAAACCAAAAAACAAATGAGGAAACAGGCTCAGAGAAGTTAAGCGCTCTGTGCAAGAGCACCAGCAGGAAGTGGCATTGCCTTTCCAGTTCTACAGAGCTGCCATCAAGGCATTTGCTGGGCCAGGAGTGCTTTGACTTGACATGGAAACTCTAGGATAATTAACAAAGATTAAAAAAAAAGTCCACGGAGTACCTTACCTTAATCTGATCGATGCTGTCACCAGATAACTCTTGAATATGCTTGAGACTGTATGCAAGGCCAGAGGGACTGAAAAATGTGATGCTGGCTGGAACTCCCTGTCGGGAAGAGAAAATGAGATCAATGCCTGGCCCTGAGATTGAGCAGAGAGAACGTTCCTCTGGCTCCATCAGCAGGAATTCCTCCAGCCACAGGCAGCCTAGGTGGTTTTACAACAGGAGAGGTTCCTGACTAATGTTGCCACTCTCTACTCAATTGAGGCAGAATTCTGGTAAGGAACTGTTTAAGAGAGCGGGTTGCAATCGGAGAGGCTGGCACTGCTCCCTGGTCACTCTGACAGCCCCAGGTCCACGTCTACTTGGCCAGAGGACACGAGCCCCATGGAGCCCACGTGGAGCCCAGCAGACTGAACAGTGCCTCTAGCTCCTGTGGTCAAGTGGCACTGGTCAGGTAAGGCAGCAGTCTTGCCAGCTCCATCTGGAAGCAGGGCAGACAGCACACAGAGCGGCCTCACGGCCTTTCTGCATTTGGTTTCTCCTAACAGGACCCCTCAGTATCAGGCAAGGCATTCAGAAGCTGTCCTGGGAGAGGACAGGGAGGGGTCCTACAGAATGTTGAAGACATCAATCAATGCAAATAAGAGCGATCCAGTCTCCTGTCTAATGCCACCTGAGGCTGTCATGGCCTCCCAAATTCTATCCAGACTCCCTGGGGCACTGTAGGCTCTCCCCAGTGTGAACCCAGCCTCCCTTTCCAGCCTCTGCCCCAACAGCTCCAGCAGTGCCCCACACGATGGAGCCCACTATTTACCTCCGGCTTGTATATATGCTGGATGCCATACAAAGAGCTTTATGTAGATTATCTTCTTTAATCCTTATGAAGACTTACTACATGGGTTTATTCTCATTTCACAGCCATAGAAATGGAGCCTCAGAAAGGCCACGTCCTCAAAGGCACATAACTGGGGATGACAACCCCATGTAGAACCTACATCTATGAGCTCATGCCCCTCACTCTGTGCTTCCACCATCCAGGTGCCTGCCCCGCCAGAGCTCTGCCTGGACACAACACATACCTGTTTGGAATAGTAGCTGTTCAGATTCACTTGGATTCCTGGGTGTGGGATTGTCTGATAGACCGTTATGCTTTCCATGGGAATCCCTGGGTACAATCCAAACCAGGAAACAGGAAACAGCCTTTACTGCACTGGGAACACAATGGAGCCTCCACATGTCACTGCGCAGGTGGTGGAGACCTTCCAGTGCAGCCACCCTCCTGGCACAAGCTACAAGGAAACTGAGGGGCCAGACTAAGGGCAGGAGGCCTCGGCTAGCCCTCTGCAGCCTCCGGAACACTTCCAAGGAGGCAGAGATGGCACAGAAAGGCAAAGGTCCAGAAACCACAGCCTTCATTCCTACCCATGATGCCTTTTGCTCCCATGTTTGTGTAGGTCTGTCCACACAGGACTGTCCCTAGCTACTCCATGAATCCCACACAGACAGGATTCATGATGCCAAGAAGCGAAGTCCTAGGGCAGCAGCTGTTGGGGGAGGCCATAGTCAGGAGCCCCAGCTGGTTCCAGCTCTGCCTCCTGGCCACGTGTGCCCTCTCTGGACCTCAGAGCGTCCAACTGTAGATGAACTGATTAGGCACTGGACCCTCTTACACTCTTTCCTGTGCCATTCAGTGACTCTGAACATTCCCAAAAGGGTTCAGGGCTAGTGGTGAGTGGGGAGGCACTGAAGTGACTAGCACAAATGTCGATCATATACAGATTTACCAGGGGCAGCCATACAGCAGGCAAAACAGCATTATGTAGCGAAGCTTCAAGTTTATGAATACGAAACGGGATAGGAAAGAAAATCTCTCAGAATTAAGATCATTTCAGCATAAAACAGCAACTTAACACCAGCATTATGTAGCGAAGCTTCAAGTTTATGAATACGAAATGGGATAGGAAAGAAAATCTCTCAGAATTAAGATCATTTCAGCATAAAACAGCAACTTAACACCATTTCATACACAAAAAATACCTAAAATAATAAACCGAAGTATCAAACCTCTAATTTGTATATTTCTTTAAGGATACTTGGGGCCAAGTGTTCTTTTTTATTTTCTCCTGAAATTTTCTTGTTCCAGAAAGGCTAATGGTTTTGCTGATCTTATTCTCTAATGTCCTCTGCCTTCATTCCTGGTAGCATTTAAAAGACAGATGATAATATAGGCAGAAGAGATATAATCTTGCTCCATTTTAATACAGGAGGGGAAAGTTACAGGATCTAAGATCACCTTGAGTCATATTGTTCACATGGATTGTTAGAGGTTCCAAACAATGGGTGAGAAAGTAATGGTTCCATGAAGTGCCTGCTTTCAGAGAGAGAGGCATCATGCTACCTGATCTCAAAGCAGCTCTGTGAGGTGGGCACTGTGGCTATCCCTATTTCACAGGTAAGGATGCTGATGCACAGAGAGATTCTATCACTTACCCTAGTTCACATGGCTAATAAACAGCAGGGGAGAATTCAAATCTGTTTTTGTCTCACCTTAAGGTTCATACTCCAAGCCACTGACACCTCTTGTTCCCAGATCAACTATATGACAGGAAAAGGTGTACAGATGACACCTAAGACATCTGTGTTAATGGTGGTGGAGTGCTCCAGAGGTGTGGGCTGGCTTCTAAATAGTGACAGTCCTGGAGCCATGGCAGATGGAGCTGGAGGACACTGCATGCTACCATAAGATGAGTTCCATCCTTAGACTTTCTTCTACATGTGGCACCAACTCTATGGTTCATTGCTTTAGTTATCTGCCTTGGGGTCATCCCGCCCCCCGCCACCCTGCCACCCTGCCCTTGATGAAGGCTTAGTGACACCCTGTGTGCTCCAAGCAGGCTGGGAAAAGCAGATCCAAAGCAAGAGAAGTGCAGACTGTATGCCCAGGCCTCATGTGAGGAAGGTCCCTGCCGTCCCTTGTGTGATCTCTGCAGAGCTACCCAGGTTCATCACCACGAAAGCTGTCGGTGGGTCCCAAAGAGGTGAGGGATGCAGTCAACGCATTCTAATCACCTTTGTCCTTGAGCATTTTAGGCAGGATTTCTCTTTTGAGGGCTCCACAGGGAAACAGAAGAGGCAATGCTGATGACTCCCCTGTGAATAAATAACTAGATTGTAAAAGCTTTGCAAGAGCTCAGGGGGTGGTGCCCGAGTGTAGGGCAGTGTGGAGGGCAAGGCTGCAGGGAGGGGGAAGCAGCCCAGGGCCCCAGGCCCAGCTCTACTCTAGTCAGTTCCAGCAACTATACATGGGAGGAGCAACTGCTACTTTGCTGATCCTGCAGGGGTGTGTGAAGATCACAAGAGGTAAGGTGGCAAAGGTGCTCAGAGAGCTAATGGCCACACAGACAAGGGCTGTTTTCATCCACGCTCTTTTAACTCTCTCTAATCCTGAAGTGGCTCCCTGGCCTGCAGCCACTATTTGGAATGCAGGCTTTGCACAATAACTGAGTAAGAAAGGTAAAGAGCAGTCCTGTTGTTGGGGCTTGGGCAAATGTTTTCTGTCTCTGAAGGAGGCCCTGGACGATTCAGCTCATACTCAGGAAGCAGCAGAGAAACATGGCCAGGAGTGGCTCTTCAGACACATCCAACAAAGACAAACTCCATGTCCACCCCTCTCCCATCCATGCCAGCAGCCACTAGGCCAAGTGTCCAAAGGATGGGCCTTATAGAGACAAGCTTGCTAAGAATGGCTCTGCCTCTCAACCCCATCCCCAACCCCAACATCTCCACTCTGGAAAGACTTAAGGGCATTTTCAGCCCTAAGCTCTTTGCAGAATAACAACATGATTTGAACACCAATGTGCAACAATACCATCCAACAGAACAGATGGGTTGCCAGATGCCAAAATCTTCCCCAAATGTGAAAACAAAGCATTTTAGTAGAACTAACCGTTTTCCCCCTACATCTATCCATCACATATAAGAAATTTTAATAGTTGTTGGTCACACAAAAACATTGTGTATTTTTCTGTATCCTTAAGAACTCTCGAGCACATCTTCCCTGGTGACTGCAATCAGACGAATGCACAAAACAAGCTCTTCCTGTCCAGCACCATCTCCACGGAACAGCAGCTAAACAACTGTAGGCTACTTTATTTCAAGTATGTATAACAGCTACATGCTGGTGAATGTCTTCTCTATTTAAACTGCTCTGTAAATATCAGTACCAACATAAAAGAACGCATGAGTCAGGAAATTGTTAAATACAGGTAATAGATACCTGCTGATTTCTCTCTTCCAGTGTAAGGAAGTGTTTTCATGCACTGTAGATGCCGTCCCTAGGGACATATTTTTAAAGCCAAGTTCAGGTGCTGTTTCCTTAACCTAAGCCCAGGTGTGCCACCCATGTCTGTGTGTTTATGTGTGTGTTGGGCCGGAGGGAAGGGGAGGGTAGGGATTTGCACAATGCTAGGGGCCAAAGCTCTTCCTGAGGCAGCTGTGGAATCCAGCAGGAAAACCAGGAATCCAACTTTCCAGCCAGCCTGACCCCAAAGGCATGGCAAGGGGCCTTTGGAGGATTCTAGAATCTCCCTTTCAAAACATCTCTTCTGAAGGTCCAGCAGAGAACTGAGTATTCTTATTCTGACTCCTAGAGGGATGGGAAGCCCCCATGGGGCTGGGACAATGTGATGAGGAGCCCAAACCAGTGCTCACCCTAACCTGGACTGCTGGGGCTGCCTATGTCTTCTCAGCAGCTGTGTTTCAGCACCTGGCAGCACAAATGTGAGCACCTGCCATGTCTTGGCCAACATTAAAGAAAATGGCCCTCAGAAATCTATAGTCTGGAACATTCCACAGGAAAGCAACAAGGCAGTCACTGGGGGCCTTTTGCTTAAGGAGCTATTCAGCTGTTCAGACTCAAATGTACTTTTAGTCTGCCTCCAAAAGTGCTTCTCCACAAAATAGTATCAAGAAAACTCTCCGGAAGTGTCAGGCTGAGAGCCTCCTGCCCTTAGGGGATCCTCACCTCACACGGCACTGGTTGCCTGAGAAGAAAGGGGACCACCAGTCTTCACCAGTAGCAAATGGCGAACACTTTCTTCCCCAAATCACAGTCTCTGGAACCGTATGTTTTTAACTTGAAAACGTCTCTCAGTTCTGGCATATAAAATGTTCTAGAGAAAACCTAGCAGTGATGACCTCTTTTTGCATACAGCCCAGTTAGAGAGATTAGGTTGGAGTCTGTATCACCTCCCAGCAGTGCAGACTATGACATCGGTGCGAGGCCCTGCTGCCCTTGGAGATGAGCTCTGAGGTCAGGGAGTCCCAGCAGGCCCCCTTTCCTCCAGGCTCAGGCCGCTGTCAGCAGTAGCTGCCCTCATGGGCCTTCCCCACAAGCCTGTCCATCATCATGGACACAGCTAAACCCCAGACACCACCATGGTGATTCAACAGCATGAAGGATGTGTCCAAACCCACAAATGAATGGGACGAACTCTTGAATCCACTTTCTTCACTTGAAAAGATTCCTTTGACTTATTCACCTGATGGAAAAGAATTGAGCATATTTTGGATGAAGAAACTTCCAGAAGCACATAGAACAAGGAAAATAAGAAGAGCTTTGGAGTCGGCCATCCTAGACTTGAAACCCAGCTTAGCACCAATTAGCTCTGTAACTTTGGACGTTACCCCCTCTCCAAGCTCAGTTTCTTCATTGGTCAGTGAGTCTAATAATCATCCCCATGTCAAGGGCTTGGCACAATACAGTAAGCAAGTAGAGACAATATAAACAAAATGCCAGTGTATGCTGGCACGTAGCAGGCCTCCGACCTCCTTACAATACTCAACAAATGAGTGTTCCTGCTGGTATTTCTGTTATCCCTGCAGTCTCTAGGACTGGTCTGGAAGCTGCCAGGCCAAGAGCCATGGAGCAAGGCAAGCTTTGTGGGAGGTGGCCCCCTTTCAAAGCAGGACCCACCACAGCATGCCAGGCCCTTCTCTGCTCTTCTCTTGGTTTGGTGATGTCTCTGCAGGTTTTTTAAAATGCTCTTTCTATTTAAGGGATGTGTTTCTGAGAAACTCTTACAAAGTCCTAGGACAATGGAACTGGGTCCTAATCCAGTGGCTCCCTGTTGGACCCAACCCTGGCCAAAGCTAGTGACAGCCTGGGCTGGTGCCACAGGGAGGGGGCAGATGCACTGAACTTCCTGCCTCAGGTCTGGGAACAACCACTTCAGCCTGATACTGGACACGTGGGTGCTTAGAAAAGTCTCAGGACTCTTGATCATCAGGCAACCTGCCTGTGACTCTCCAGGCCACCCACTGCTCCCACTATGCCTTGCTCCCCTGCCTCCTGGACAAACCTCTCCTTCTACCTTCTCCTCTCTGACTGGGATGGCATGGCCATGGCTACTGCCCAAGGAAATCCTGTGCTTCCCGTAAGCTCCTCAAACACAGCTCTCCTGTGACAGGGAGGCCATGGCTGTGTTCCTTTTATGTAGACATTCCTGAAGACCTTGACCTTCTTTTGGTCACTCCAGCCCCCTGTGATACTGTGATATAATAGGCAATACATATCTTAGGAAATATTTATTTGATCTTCACCCCTCATTCCTGGCGCACAACTTCTAAAATGCTTGAAATTTCCTGCATGATAGGAGAGAAGCATTTTTTATTTACAATAAGCTCCTTTCAACCTTACTACAGTTTATGCTAATGAGGTGACTCTTGATGGGCTGCTAGACAGCCTCAGGATGGGGGCTGGTTGCCAGAGGAAGCAACCCTGTGACTAGAGGCTTGTAACTTTCAGCCCTACTCCCTGACCTCTGGAGAGGGGAGATGGGCTGGAGACTGAGTAGCTCATCAGTGGTCAATGAGTTAATCAATTGTACTCACCTAACGAAGCCTCCATAAAAACACTGAACCATGGGTTTGGACAGTTCAAACCCAGGTTGGTGAGTTCACCCACATGCCAGGAGGGTGGTGTCCCCAACTCCACAGGGACAGGACTCCTGTGCTTGGGACCCTTCCAGACCTCACCCTTCATGCTTCTTCATCTGGCTGTTCATCTGGATCCTTTATTGTATCCTTTATAATAAACCAGTAAACTTAAGTGAAATGTTTCCCTGAGTTCTGTGTACCATTCTAGCAAATTACTGAACCTGAGGAGGGTGTCATGGAACCTCTGATGTGTAGCCAAGTTGGACGAAGTGTGAGTGACCTGGGGACCCAATACTTGCATCTGAAGTGGGGGGCTGTCTTGTGGGATTGAGCACTTAAACTGCGGGGTCTGTGCTAACTCTGGGGAGTTAGTGTCAGAATAGAATTAAATTGTGGGCTGCCCAGCTGCTATCTGGAGAGTTGACCAACCAGTTGTTGGTGTAGGGAAAAACCCACACATTTGGTGTCAGAAGTGCTCTGGGGGGAGAAACAGATGCTAGTAGCAGTAGCAACCTCACCACACACAAACTGTTTATACCTCTTTTTGTCATTTAATCCACCCTGCCTTGTAATGGTCACTGATATCTATGTCCCTCCCACCCCACTGCCCGCCCCAGATAAGGTGGGAGCTCCTAGAAGGCGGGAATGGAGACGGACCCCTCTCCGGCCCCCAAGCCCTCTAAAGGCCTGGCACACAGGTGCTCCTGGGTAAGTGTCTGCTGCACCATATTGAACTGACTTGTTCTTGTGTGACAGGGAGGGAGCATGGGGGATGGAGCAAGAGAGGCATCAGTCAGTGCACCAAGTGCCTGAAAGGCCTGTCCAAGCCGATGAACATGCATCTGCTGAGCTCAGGAGAGCACAAGCTTGGGATTTCCACATGGCTGAACCACTCTGTGGCTGGGGCTTATTTCTTTGAAGGAGAATAATCAGAAAAGACCCATCCAGCTCTTAAAAGCTGGAGGCCCTGTGAGGCTCTGCCTTCACCAGAGTCAAGCACACTTACCCCTCCCCCTGTGGGAACCCCAGCCCCTGAATCCCAACAGATGGAGGGACTCAGCTGGCAGGTACTCCAGGGCAGGTCGATGGAGAGCAGGTGCTCAGTCAGCTTTGCTGACTGTGCTGGGCTATGGGGACAGTGATGGCTTCGCAGTGCTAGGTCTGAACTCCAACCCTGCCACTTCCTAGCTTGTGACCTTGGACAAGACTTGTCACTTGGTCCCCCAGAGCCTCTACAACAGCACAGCCGAAAAGAACTTTTGGTGATGATGGGAATGTTCTGTGCTGTCCAGTGTGTTGCCATTAGCCACGAGTGACAACCGAGCTTGTGAAATGTGCCCAGTGTGACTGGAGAACTGAACTTTTAATTCTATTAGAATTAATTAATTAAAATTTAAATAGCCATATGTGTCTAGTGGCTACCATCCTGGACAGCACAGCTTATAGAGAGGATGACTGTGACTTCACAGGGTGGTGGTAAAGATCAGAAGAGATGAAGTAGGAAGAGTCCACCGAGCCTGGCAGTACCTCTGCTGTTCCCTGACTGCCTTCTGCTGCCTCTCCTATAGACTGCTCTGTCCAGGGCCCAACTGAGCTCCAGGGATCCTAAGCCCACAGTGGAGTAAAAGATACAGGACTTTTTCCAGGACTCACTCCCAGTGGTGCACAGAAAAATACAAGCTAGAGAACCTTCAAGCAACAGTAATGGCTTATGGCAGGAAGACTGTATAAGACTTTAGTGTACAAGTTTGCAGATAAAGAAGGAACACCACCACCTTAAGGAGGAACATTTAACACATACATCTTATTTTGCCTTAAAACAAAACCATCCACTACTGTTTCAGAAGCCATAACAAGACCTAATATTTAGGGTGTTCTCTCTCCCTACCCACCCTGATATCACCACCCAAGGGGCAAAGAATACACCCCTCTCCAGGGACAACCTTAGAGGAAAACCTCAGCTGTCAGCAGTCCACCTGACCCCTGCCTCCCAGCTTGGCAGACACCCAAAGAATCTAGAATGGGGTCAGCAATTACAGCACTGGGTCAGAGCCAAGCCCACTGTTTGTGTATTGTCTATGGCTGCTCTGTGCTACCACTGCAGAGTTAGTGGTTCTGACAGGGAGCATTTACCTGCAAAGCCTAGAATATCTGGTCCTTAGCAGGTGAAGTTTGCCAGCCCCTGATCTCAAGGAGCAATGCCCTGATTTCCTCTTTGGTAATGTAAGGCAAGATGGTTCTACTTCATTCTCCCATGTGGGTATATAAAATATCTGGTCCTTAGCAGGTGAAGTTTGCCAGCCCCTGATCTCAAGGAGCAATGCCCCGATTTCCTCTTTGGTAATGTAAGGCAAGATGGTTCTACTTCATTCTCCCATGTGGGTATATAACATCACACCTACACCAGGGAGGGGTCGCATGACAAGGCTGCAAGAGCCTGCTGGATTGTCTGCAGTTGGATTGGACACTCCAGTAGGGACATCCAATAGTAGGGAAGAGAGAGGATGGGAGATGTTACCTGGAGGCAGGACTGCCTACACATGCACATTCAGCCTTCCCATCCCTCTCGCTCCAAAATCTCTGCTCTGAAAATCTCTGCCCCTGTGTTCTCCTGAAGTCTCAAATTCCATAATTTGCCTAAGGTTTAATCCCCATTTAAATGCAAACATCCTTAGAACCAGTGCCATTTTAGGTTCCAGTGCTGCCCAATGATGAGCTTATTAGGCAAGTCAGCTCTTTATCTGGGAGCAAATTTGGGGGAGGGAATGTAGAGAAGGAAGCAGCTCCTAAGCAGAAGGGAAAAGACACAACTCAAAAAGGGAAGAGCTCCCAGCAGCACCTACTGCCTCTGCTCTCTTTAGGAGCACGTCAGGTGGTCTATTCTGTCTTTGTCTCCAAACATTTCGTTTTGTGTTACATTTCAGTTGACTCAAGTCCTTTTGGGACGGGGGTAAGAGGTGGGCTAAATCTCAAACAAGTATAGACACACATGAATACCAACAGGTTATGGTCCCAGAGTGGCTTACATGCTGCTCATCCATCAGTATCACCCCTGAGAATATATTCTCTTCCTAAGGTAGTAGTTGTGAGATCAACAAACGAAAAAAAAAATGGGCTTCATTTGGGGTGATCTTTTTCTACTTACTGGAACAAATATACTCTGCAAGCTTTTCTGCACTTCCACAGTTTTCTCCTTCTGCATCCAGGCCAATTTTATTCACTGGAAAACAACAAAGAAATGTATTTCTTTACATGTTTGGGGTGATCTTTTTCTACTTACTGGAACAAATATACTCTGCAAGCTTTTCTGCACTTCCACAGTTTTCGCCTTCTGCATCCAGGCCAATTTTATTCACTGGAAAACAACAAAGAAATGTATTTCTTTACATGGTTATTAAAGCCCTTTTGTTCCTGTGTTGTTTTTTAATGTGCAAATACACAGGCATACACTTTACAAATCACACAGAGAAAGTCTCTTGAAAGCCAGTGTAGGAAGATCACAAGTGTCCACTCAGACATGAAGGTGCTGGGTCCTGGCCCCACCCTTCATAGACTAGTGGCTTTGAGTAAGGCCTTAGCTAGCTCCTCTGAACCCCACTAAGCTCATCTACAAGAGGAGAAAACAGCAACCAGATGGGGCTGTATTATTAAGAATTATGTGAGATAATGAGAGAAAACTCCTTGCTATCTAGAAGGAGCTCAATAAAGGCTGTTTTCTTACATTAGTCAGGAGATGGTAAGCATTTGGGACCTACAACTTTTTACAGGAGTCTGCATTGGAGAACCCTCATTCTGTTAGGGAGATGAGGCCAGCCCCCATTCAGAAAGGTGTCATGGGGTGACATGGCCAGACTGAAAGGGAAGGGAGGGGAGAAAGAGCTTCCTAATAATCTGCCAATGGGGACTCCCAGCAGAATCAATACAAGCCATTTAAGGTGAGTGGCCAGTTTCGTGAGACTTCTATTCATGAACTGAGTAAGAAGCAGATAAATGCAGGCTCTCCTGCACTTTTCCAGACAGTGAACACTTGGCCACTCTGCAGAGGTGTTGACAAAGGAAGGGTCAGCACTGCTACCTGCCCTCAAGGATGTGGAACTCCTCTGAGAAAAGATGCTGTGGCCATTCCATTTATGAGTCACACAAGAGTCTGGCTAGTAATAAACCAGTTTCAATGTAAACACCATCAGCTTTTCAATTTATGAATCATTAAAAACATGCTGAGTCAAAGAGAACAAAGTCACGTGCAGCTGTAAACTTTGTCCAGGAACAAAGCCCTCGCTTATGCTGCAGTGCCAACCCAAGCTGGGCCTCTCTTCTGTTTGAGTTTGGAAGGACTAAATGCACCAAAGAATCTTAAAAACCTCCCCAGGAACTGAACTGAGACATAAGAACTTGCAGTGATGCTGGTACTTAATATTGAAATATATTTGCATTTTTTCACTAAGTAATGAGTCAATAGGAATCACACCTAGAACACTAACTCTCAAATACAGCTTTGCTGTTCACAAAGTGAGCACCTGCTCATTTGATCCTTAACACAACGACAACGCTATGAGCAAGACAAGCAGAAATTACTACTGCGTTTGAGAGAGGAGGAAGCTGAGGCTCTGCGTGGGTCAGCGAGGGCAAGGACGGGGCTATGGAGCTGTATGCTCCACCCTGCAGCCCACAGAAGGCTCTCAAGAAGTGTTTAGGAAATGCATGTTTGGTTTAAGGTCTCAGCGCCTGCATGTGGCAAGGCTGGCTCTGGTCCCAGTCAGTAAGGACAAGCATTTCAACCAACACTTGGGCTCAAGCAAGCCCATCTTAAGGGCCTTCTCCAAGTAATGACTGACAGCGAAGTGTGAAATTATCCACAACTGTGTTAAATAAACCAAGCCAATCACAGACAAACCTGTCACAGAGTATTTTTCACATTTGAGAGTTTAAGACATTGACTGACACAGTGGATCCAGTTTTCTGGGCTTGTGTAAACAGTGGGGTGAAATTCTCTGCTGGCTGATGTCTATATTGAAAAGATAACACTTGGTAAATCTGAGAGTAAAATAAAATCTTTAGTGCAAAAGCAAATCAGTAATAATCAGGAAACCATATTTGAAGACATTAACAAAGTTATGGATAAGATAATTTCCATAAAGTCTTTCCAGTGAAAAAAATTCATGGCTTTAAAAATGATAAAATATCTGTGTGCTTATGCAGTGGGGCATGGTGGCTTTGGAAAAATGCAGTAATGGATTTAAACAATGACTGTACCACTTTTTAAGCATGTGAACCTGGCAAATCACATCCTTTCTCTTAGGCTCAGTTTTTATTTTATTTGAAATCAGGAAAATGTGCTTACTAAAGCCTTCCTTATGAAAATGAGAAATCATATACATAAAGTGCATAGCATAGTGCCTGCTGTATAACAGCTACTCAAAAATGATAGCTGCTATTAATTATAGTAACAGTAGATAATAATTTGTTCAAACAGTACAATTATACAGCTCATGATGAAGTTGTCTTAAAAAGCATCTTTCTGTGCTCTGAGTTATTCATCGCAAAACTATCCTTTGTGGGGTAATTAGTCTGGGTTTAGAAGGCCAAGCACCAGTGACCTCTCAATGTCTCCCAGGTATCAATGCTGTAATCAGATGGGGGAGGTAGGGCATTTCACTTTTGGCAGTTGAATGGAAGGCTTTCCCCCTGGGCTGGCTGAGTTGTAGGGTATCAGCCCACGAGTCAACCAACTCTGCTTCTTCAAGACAAACTGAAATCTTATTAAACTATGCATGAATTATACAGCCAAAATAAGCTTCTCAAGAGATTTTATGCAGACCAAGTGCAAAGTTACAGAGCATATACTTTTCTCCATCTATTAATAATCAGATTGTAAGTCAAGTTGCAACATTTATGAAGAAACACAGACATCTTCTCTCACTGGACTTCCACACTGAGACCTGTTGCTGTTCACCGGACTCTGTCTTCATTTCTATTTTGAGAAAAATGTCTACCTTTTCTTCCCTTTGCTTCAAATGTCCTGCTCTCCTGACCCAGACCACAGACTCTGCGAAGCCACAGCAGCTCCTCTGCTGCAGCTTGACTCAGGGCTCCCAGGTGACGTAAAGTGGCCCCCAGTAACCCCTAGGATTCGTGCCTCAGTTGCTTGAAGTCTTGAGACATATATTTTTATCACTGTACCACCATTGTCTTTTTTCTAAAATGCATATATTGATCCCGCTAAACTCAACTGAAGGTTGTGTGATAGCTCCAAATGTTTATCAGCTAATGTGCAGAAGTTTGAATTAGTAGTAAAAGAATCAAAAGGGGAAAATATACGAATATTTTGCATATTTGATAGCTGTTTTTTGTATGCAAGTCAGAAATTGCCTGTATTATTTTCTTTCCTCGTCTCATTTAGAAAAAAATAAATAGTAAAAGAAAGTACAAGCAAATTCACAACTTATTTTGAGGGTGATGACATGTGGGAGTGTAGGTGGTCCTCCTGGCAACCAAGCCACTGATTGCTTCTCCCTGGCTGATCCACTGAGCTTGCAGTAAGAGTTATGCTGGGCAGAAGAGCCAGGCATCATCTTTTAATTAGCCTAGCAACTCCCAACTGGTTTCTTCCCCAACCTCATTTTGTTCTCTGGAAAACGTGCTTTCAATTCTTTTTGTTTTGTTTTTGGTGGCTGACCAGTACAATGCTTTTAATTCTTGAACTTTTTTTAAAAAGATGACTGGTAAGGGGATCTTAACCCTTGACTTGGTGTTGTCAGCACCACGCTCTCCCAAGTGAGCCAACCGGCCATCCCTATATAGGGATCCGAACCTGTGGCCTTGGTGTTATCAGCACCACACTCTCCCAAGTGAGCCACAGGCCAGCCCGAATTCTTGAACTATTTTCACTCACACTGCACCTTCCCCCAATATTTTTAAATTCATTTAGACAAACTGCACCATTTTGAAACAAAGTCACAAGCTAATTCATTCATAATTGCTAAGCATTAAGTATTTAAAATATTTTAATGTTAATTTTTAATGACTCTTCACAATTTATGCTTTAAAAATAATATATAAATTCAAGACTATTTGGAAAAATGTAGAAAATATTAAGAAAACTGAAAAAAACCAACTATGATACCACTACCTGAAGATTTAGGCTTTTTTTATTGTCGTAAAAATATATCCTATATATATATATATTTTGTAGTAAAAATATATACTATGTGTGTATATGTATATATGTACATATATACACACACATGTGTAAAAGTGTATATATGTATAAACATATACATGTATAAACGTATATATGTATATACATATACATGTATAAACGTATATATGTATATACATACGTATGTATATGTATGTAAGTATATATACGGCTATGTGCGTGTATGTATATAGGTATGCAAAAAACAAAATTTACCATTTTAACCATTTCTTAAGTGTGTAACTCAGGGGCATTAAATACATTCACAATGGAATTAGTGGGCCAAGAGGTACAAACATTTAATATTGAATACATACTGATTAAATATTTCTCAAAAGGTGTGAAGCAATTTTTAATGCCATTTAGCAATGTTTGAATATATTTGTTTCATTGCACCCTTATCAGTAGTAGTATACATTTAACTAGTTAATTACTTTTTGCAAATTTAGTGAGCAAAAGATAATATTTTTAAGCTGAATTAAAGTTTTTTTTTTTTTTTTTAAAAAGGCTAAGCCATTTTTTGGTGTTTTATTTTTACCTTAATTCCTTACCTAGAGAAGCAGTAGCATTTCCAACCACATACACTGACTTAGCATTCCATTTTTCTCTCAGAGACTTCTCCCAGACTGTAAAACATGAAATTATATGTGAGTTGCAAATACCAAAGTGGCCATTTGGACTGTTGCCCAAGGTTGCTTACTTATTCCAAGAGATGTGTGAGCAAGGCCAGCTATTAATAACCAAATGTAAAGAACAGCATCTCAAACTACAGTTCCATTTTCATATTGTTTTTATTTTGCAGGCAAATTTTAAAAGATCACTTTGGCAAATGTTTCAGTATGCCTGGCTTGAAATATTAACTCATTTCCACAGTTGGCACTAAAAGCATTTTTAATTTTTTTTTTTTTCTGGCGGCTGCCCAGTACAGGGATGGAACCCTAGACCTTGGTGTTATCAGCATCACGCTCTAATCAATTGAGCTAACATGTTTTTAATGTGTACTAGAAAATGAACATAACTTGAAGAAATCACTTTGCATGGTAACATTAAAACTAAAAAAATCCAGATATTTGAAGAAAAAGTCACTGGTCATTAAAAAAAGCAACTTAAATATCTAATAAAGCAATATAATTAGTTTTATTTGGGACATAAATCTGAAAGCAGCAACAAACTGTAATCTCAGATGAGAGGGCTCATTTATCCATTAGATCAAAGTAGAAATAAATTTTAGGTTCAATAACAAACATAATTTAAAAAAGAACACTACCATTTTACAACCAAAAAAATCAAAAGAAATACAAAGAGAAAATGGATTAGGTAAATATATCGTAAGGCCACTGGGCATTCAGTACATTGTTAAAAGACAAGGAAACAATAGTTCTTCCTAAATATATGAGAAAATGCTTTTCAACCTGTAAAGCACTATAAAAAGTTATAGTGTGCATTCTGGGTTTTTTTCTCTTTTTCATTATCTTCATCATCAAAGCACATACAAAAAGAAAAATACAACTGGAGGACAAAGCATCCTGAAGCACCACTAGGAGACAGTACACATGCTTCTCTGCCTCAAGTTTCTTTCTCTCCTTTGGAAACAATAGTACCTTGGTTCTGTCCCTGTACTGGCCAGTCACCGAACCCCCCCCAAAAAAAAAACAGTATTTCGGTTCTGAGTTTCTTAGGGTCCTCATCCCTAATAAAAGCACCAAGCCTTCTCTCCAACAGCAGGCAAATGTGTATATGAAATCACCAAGAAGGTGATTTTTTTCAGGTTATAGTAAGAGGCCAGTTAAATGTGAAAAAAAAAACAGTATTTCGGTTCTGAGTTTCTTAGGGTCCTCATCCCTAATAAAAGCACCAAGCCTTCTCTCCAACAGCAGGCAAATGCGTATATGAAATCACCAAGAAGGTGATTTTTTTCAGGTTATAGTAAGAGGCCAGTTAAATGTGAAGACAGATAATAATAACCTACTATCCCTGTCCCTGAACTCCCACTACGCTCCAGGCTTCACTTTGGGACAGAGACTCTACAGCTTGAATCATGTGTGGTCTTGGAGAGTTTCACACCCTTTGTTCTTCAGTTTCCTCACCTGCCAAGTGGAACTACTAACTGTACCTACCTCAAAGGATAAGGCATTTAGGACAGAGTCTCTGGCACAGAGCAGGCACTCAATAAGTTCTAGCTGCCGGTAGTAGAAGTAATAATCCCATGATTCAGGTACTATTGTGCCTACTTCAAAGACAAGGAAACAGGGTCAGAGAGGTGAAGGAACTCTCCAAGGTCAGAATGGCTGCATGAACACAGGCCTTCCTCACTCCAAAGTCTCTGCGGTAACCACTCTCCCTGCTCATTAGCACAACTGTAGAGCCATCGGCCTGGGTGTGAAGGCTGGCTCTGCACTGACTAGTTCTCTGACCCTGGACAACTGTTTACTCTTCCCAAGCCTCAGTGCCTCTTGGTTGTCTAGGATTAAATGAGATAACAAAATGGAGTATTTAACACAGAGCCTGATATATAATAGGCACTCCATAAATGTTTGCTAGGGAGCTATTCAGTTAAATTCATTAAGAAGGTAGTTGTTCAGTCAAAGCCTGGGGCTCTGTCAACATGCAGTGCCATTTTCATCCTGCTATGATGGAGAGGGAAGGTGGAGAGAAGCAGGGTTGAAGAGATGACAGAGTCACTATGTGCCTGGCACGGTACTGACCAATTTCTCCTATATTGTTGGAATCCCTTTGAGGAAAGAGCTATTTATTCTATTTTCCCCTGAAGAGACTGGTGCCCGAAATATTCTGAGAGGAGATAAGAACGCCCAGCAGATGGCCATTTAAAAGACAGTAGAGAGAGTCCCCCTCAGCCACATCTGCCTGGGAGTTTATGAAGCAACTCTGTCTCATTTCCCCAGGAAGTATCTGTGAGCTGGCACTGCTAGGCATCCACATCTGTCAGAAGTGCAGCTATTTTTAGAATCCAGTATCCCAACAAAAGAAGGAGTAAATAAAAGTCCAGTGGAACTCACAGCAGACCCACTCTCACCTTCGGTTTTGTTGTTTTTCTCCAAACACAACTCCACCGCTTCCACTGCTCTGGGGCTAGTAAAAATGAGTCCCGTGTAACCTTCAGGATGAGACAGCTACAGACCAAAAAGCAATAAAGGAATTTTATATAATGGTGACGTTAAAAAGCTCACAAGGAGCTCTGACCCCAAATTCCCAATGCTCACAAAAGTAATAGGTAAACCAATTCTTTCCACCCTTCCACCCATCCAGCCAAGATTTATTGAGTGCTTACTATGCACCTGGAACTACTCTAGGCCTTTTAGCACATACAGGTGAATTCACTTCAAAGCACTTCCCTCAAGCTCACAGTCTAGGGGAGAGGCAGACAACTGCAACACAGGGTGACATGTGTAACTGCAGCAGAAAGGGGCAACCTGACTCAGCTTGGGGCTGGAGTGGGGTGCAGGTAGAAGGGTAGACTTGACTTACATCTGTGATAAAACTAGAATATTCCAGGGGTGATATCCATGCTGAAGCCCTGATTTTCAAGGATAATAATGGTGATACAATCTACTGAACACTTATTCTGAGATAGGTACTGGGCTGTTGTATACATCTGACTTCACTGAAGCTGTGGGCACTCAATCTTTAATCTGAAACACTTAGAAGGCTTTACTGGGCATCTCTTGCAATGCCACTCCTATACATGGAAGCACAACTTAAGTTGTGGGCAGAAGCCCTGGGTTTGAGTCTCAGCTCTGTCTCTTACTTGCTGGAAGCCTCAGCTGAGTTGCCTAACCTGGGGCCTCAATCTCTAAAATGGGAAAATAACACCTGATGGCCTGCTTGGCAGAGGTTGGGGCCAAAGGGTAGGTTAAAAGAGAGGATGAATGTGGGAGGGTCTAGAACTGCTGAGAGCAATGCAGGTTTAGGGCTCTCACTATCACCTGCTCCTGGGCCCTGATCTCTTGAGTCTGGGTGGCTTTCTGGAGGAGCTGGTACAGACTCAGCCAGAGAACCCCAACAGCAGCAGTCTCCTGAGCCAGGCAAGGTTGTGCTGCCCTTGCTTAAAGTTTAGCAGTAAAATTATGAGGGGTTAGTAAAACAGTTCTTCTAGCTTGGACTGGCAAGGATTCTACATAAACCAAACACTAGCATGGTGTTTACCAGCACCACACTCTACCGAGTGAGCCACCGGCTGGCCCAAGCATGGTGTTAGATACCACAGGTCTTACCTTCTCAGAGAAACTGGGAAGAGACAAAAACTCAAATGATAAAACAGGGATCAAAGTGGCTTCAAGTCCATGTAATCCCAATTCCTGCAAATGAAAGAATATAGTTCTGGATTGGCCAGGGCTGTCTTCATAATAAGGAAAGGGTCGTGGTATCACATTTATGATTTACTCTGTGTCAATTCCTCAGAGTTTTAGCAAACTCCTCCCCCGCCAGCTCCAGCCCCCTTGACTCCATTTGTAAGAAAGCTATTTGCTTTATGGGACAAGGAGTCTCAGACTACTTACCCTGATATACGGATCCTGGCCACAGTCATCCTCCTTAGCATCCTTCAGCAAAAGAACTTTCATTACTGCTTGGCAGTCCTTACAGGGCTCTGTGACAGAACAGAAAACAGATCTTAATTAGATCTCAAAGACTCTTCCTAAGCAATGTTGGATGTGAATGGAGCACAAGAAGGTAATCAATTGCTTGCTAAAGAGACCTATCCCTTCCACATGATGACTTAGCATTAATGGGCTTGTTATTTCTGAAGACCTCTGACACTGATAAGGCCAAGGGAGAGCATGTTAGCAGTTGATATCACTTGGAAAGGCAGACGAAAGCCATTAGTGAAAGTCAAATGTCCTACACCAAACATTTACAGCTCCTAGAAGAGAAGTGGTGCAAATTATGGGTTGTATCAATAACAAATAGAGAAATAGATATCTTATATTTTGAGGTGATAAATAAATAATTATTTCCATTTCAAGATAAATACACTAAGTACGCTCATAAACACTTTAGGAAATAACTATATGGACTCTTTCACTTCTCAAATGATGTTTTATAAATGTTGTCAAGTATCATGAGATAATAAAACAACTTGAAAATCAATTTGACAAAATGTATCAAAAGCCCATACATTCATACCCTTTCTTCTTGTAATTTCACTTCTTTATGAGGCAATACTCATAAGTGTCTACAAAGATTAACATAAAAATGTTCATTCTGGCATTTTTCATAATTGCAAATAACTGGAAACAACTGCAAATAACACCATTGTTAAATAAATCATGGTACAGTTATACAAAAGTATTAAAATATTAACACATAATTATATGAATTATTTAATCACAAAATGATGTTAAGTAAAAAAAAAGAGCAGGATTCAGGATTACATAAATACTATGATTATATATATATATATATAAAAGAATATACACCAGAATATTAATAGTAATTATTTCTGAGTAGTAGGTTAGGATGATTATTTCCTTCACCATTCTGTTTTTTTTTTTTTTCTTTTTTACAATGAACAAGAATTTATTTCTCTTGTATTAAGGGAGAAAAAGCACATTATAATCATCCAAAAGGCCTCAAAATAAATGCTGCTGAAGAACTGCAGAATAAATCTGCTTGCGAGGCAGATTAACATAAATAGCATTAGACCCATCAGTTAGTTAGTTAATAAGTATTATGCAGTGGTTCATAAGAGTACATTGTTTGAAGCAGGGAAGTGTTAACTCTGGGAGCCATTACTTATAAGTTAGTATTGAATATATTTCTGGAATATTATAATATCCATGGAACATCTCAGGAAAATTTGGCTTAAAATGAATTGCTTTGTATCTAAGCAACCAAACCTGGGTGAACAAATAATGATTATGAAATCAAGTTCTGATTACTGCTGCTGTTGAGGTGTTACCTAGAGAGATTGGGGACTTGGGGAAATGGCAATGTGGGTCTTATCATTTTCTCAAGTTACTCAAAATGTGTCTCACACAGAAATTAGGTGTCTGCCTTGCTGCGATATTCACTTTTTTTGGTGTCTGGTCTGTATGGGGATCTGAACCCTTGACTTTGGTGTTGTCAGCACCACACTCTTGCAATGGTTATGTATCACCTTAACTAGGCTATTGTTTCCAGTTATTTACAAACATAAATCTAGATGTTGCTTGTGAAGGTGTTTTGGAGACATGATGAAGTCCATTGTCAATTGGCTTTAGGTGTGGGAGATTATCCTACATTATCTGGGTGGGACTGAATCCATCAGTCCAAAGGCCTTCATAAAAACAGAGCTGAGGCTTCCCTGAGGAAAAAGAAATTCCACTGTGGACACAGAGTCAGCTTGTGCTGAGTTCCAGCCTGCCCTTCTAAAATGCCGGCCCACCGCCGCGTTGGCTTGCACCATGGATTCAGACTTGCCTTGCTAACCCCCACTGCTCCACAAGCCAATTCCCTGCAGCAAATCTCCCGAAATTTATCACTTGTTGGTTCCGTTCTGATTGAATTCTAACACACTTTCCAATTTGGGGGCGCCAGGAATCTGGCATGTCACTCATAACAGGTAAAATTTGGCATTTCTGCTAAAGCCTAAGTCCCTCTGGGGCACGCAAAGCAAGCAACTAGTGTGAGGATTAAACAGCTGAGGCAAGACGTTGTTAGAAGCCAACGATCCTGTGGCCACGGAGCTCCACTAGTCCCCTACTACATCCCTGCCATGGTTCTAAGCTCTGGGATACAGACCCCCACATTTTCAAGGGACATTTTAGTAACACTTTCAAATACCAGCAGCCAATCTCTCACAAAAGCATTTCTGTACAGTTCTCAGGCAGTGTTGCCTAATCTGCACCTGGAATCTCCCTCAGGGAAATTAGGTCTGCATTATTTATTGGGGGTGTGTGTGTGTGATTTCAGATACTAATAAGCACTGTAAGTTGATGTGGCAGAGTAACTGGGGTGCTGATAGCTAGTTACCTCTCCAGGGAGGCGTCTCTGGGGAGGTGACATTTGAGTGGAGATCTGAATGACAATAGCAGTAAGGAGAAATTTCAAGCGTCAGAAAGGGGCCCAGGGAATGCCCAGGAGAGAACAGTAAGTGTGGTCAGAGTGTAATGGACAAGGTGGACTTTAAATTTCATGAGAAAAAAGAATCCAATCAAGACTTAATGATGCAATTAAGGGTGAAACCATCTGTCCACAACCTAGTTTGAAATGGTTGGGACCAGGTGGCAAATAAGTGTCTTTGAATCCCAACTGAACTTTTTTAGGTATGTCCAGTTTAATCCTAAGTCAACAAATACTTAAGAACAGTAACTGTGTAATATGATCCCTGTTTCATGATATTTACAGGAAGGTAAAACAGGTATTTTACAAATTAGTAAAGACGATGTTACACTGCAATAAGTCTTCTGAAAGAAGATTCAAGATGCTGTGGAAACATGACTGGCAGGTCTTATTTGGACTGGGAGGTGGGACACAGATTGTCAGTTGCCCATATATATCCACTCTTTCCTTCTCCCTCATAGAAATGGAACCCCTCACTGTTAAGTGGGCACATAGTTGCCTAAAATAAAAATATGTAGGTGGAGGTTGCCAGATTACTAGGTTCGGGTCAACAGGAGGCAAGACAAAGTGATGTGTACAACTTGTGGGTCCTGCTCTTAGAAGGAAATGTCCATCCCTCCCCTTCCCTTTTCTGCCTTCCCTTCTGGCTGCAATGTGGATGGAGCGGCAACACTTTGTACTTGCAGAGGACGATCTAGGGATGATGGAACAAGACAGAGGGAGCGTCGGGATCCCTTTGTCTGACAGAGCCATCCCGCCGGCCAGAACTTGTACATCAGAGAAAAGTAAAGTCCTACCCTATTTTAGCCATTGTTCATTTGGATCTCTGTTAGAGTAGTTGAACTTATATCCTAACTAACACAGAGGTAAGAAAGGCTTCCTTGAGGAAGTAGACTTAAGGCTGGGTAGGAATTAGCACACTGCGGAAGCTCCAAGCTAGGTATGCCCAAGGAACAAAGAGGATATTACAGAGGAGCTGGAGTGTACAGGGCAGAGTGGTGAGAGGTAGGGCCGGCAAGACGGGGGTGGGGGTGGGGGTGGGGTGCTGGTGTCGATCACATTAGGGAGTTTGGATCTTATCTTAATACCCACAGAAAGCTTCTTGCTTATGGATTTATTTCTCCTCTTTTTCTCATTTCTTTTTGCCCTTTTCTCTTCCCCTTTCTCTATGGGGATAACAGAAGGAAGGAAGTGCGGTGTCACGGAACAAGCACAGGACTAAAGTCCCAGGTGCCAGCTTTATTACTCATGGTGTGATCTTGCTTTCTCCTGGGTTAAATGGGAATAACCTCTTTCCCACCAAGCCATAAGGTTGGTGAGTGACTTTAAAAGGATAATAATGACAGCTAACACATTTATTGAGCACTTACTATGTGCCAGGCACTGTTCTAAAAGCTTTATATGCATTAAATCTATGAGGTTTATGTGGAAGCTGAGGCATATAGAGTATAATACTCATTCAAAGTCTCAGAACTGCTAAGTGGCAGAGCTAGGATTCATACCCAGGCAGTCTGGCTCCAAAGCCTGTACACTTAACCCCCATGCTATATGCTGGCTCTCATATACTTTGTGTGGAGGGTTAGAAATCTTGATTCTCATTTGATTTTAGAATAGGGTTTTTAGGTAAATGCGTGTATGGGGCAAAAGCCCTCGGCTAGGAGACACAGTCTACAGACAGAGGGCAAAAGCCCATTTAATCAATTCTAATTAAATAATGTTGATTCTCATTTGATTTTTAGAATAGGGTTTTTAGGTAAATATATATATGGGGCAAAAGCCCTTTAGTAGGGGGCCACAGCCCACAGGTACCGTGGCAAAAGCCCATCTAATCAACTCTAATCACTGCTTAGGTAGGGGATTGTATACTTTAATGATTTTAGAGCTAACAGGTGGTTGTTATACCAATCCTGTTAAGAGATTTTAAGAATTGCTGAAGGGAAAGATGTGAAAAAAACATTTGCTAGGGGTAAGCTGTCTGTTGGGGGAAACTTTAGAGATAATTGTACTTAGATTTTATCATGGAATGTAACTTTTGCTTAAGGAGAGGTTATACTTTAGATAATGAGCCAGTTTGACCAACTTAGCTTTTCACTAATTGTACTTTGGAATGTCACATTGTTAATTTTACTGATGTTACTAGTTTCCATTGTTAAGCTATACTTACCCATAGAAAACTTTTGTAACACTGCCCATGTCTTTGTGTCCTTTTCTAATGATTGGATCAACTGATTTTCCTTGTGAAACTTCCTTGTCTTTACAATAAAAAACAGAAGCTAACATTGAATGGTTGCTGCACCCAGTTTTCTCCTTCTAACAGAGGAGTGCGTTGCTGGGGTGCAGACCCTTCGGGCTTCTCAATGCATTCATGGTGTTATGAGTAATCCTTTCTTCATCTCTGTTACACAGTGAGAAGTGTAACACTTTGCATACAAAAATGTTTGGGGAAAATAGAGGTATGAAAATATAATACATTTAAGTGATATTTAAAATATCGCTATAGTACAAATTGCTTAGTTTAATTATGTAATCTCATGAAAGCAAAATCAATTTAACCACAGCAAACAGAGAAAATATTTCTTGGGTTCTAATCTGTAGTTCTTTTAGGTAATAAAACTAATGCCAGCAAGAAGCTCAAACTTCTGGATAATAATTATTAAGAGATTCCCTGAGATGTACTGCAGGGCTTGACAAACAAAAAAAGAAGAAAAAAAAAAATCAAATTACCAAGGTCAAGGGTTTGGAATCCCATACCAGCTAGCCGCAAAAAAAAAAAGAAAAAAAAAAATCAAATTACTATCCTTGTCCCTTCTCTGCCATCACTGAAGGTATCTCTAACATAAAATTATAAAATTAAGAGAAACCACTGCTGATGATTCTTTGCCACGTTACAGTCCCATATTATCAGGCTGACTGAGGAAGAATCAGTTGATAGCTGCACACGGACAGTCAGGTTAGTACATTACCACTTTGGACTTCGGGAAGAGGCCTAGTGGACTGTAAGGGGCTTGGACTAAAAAGCCAGGCCCTGTGTTCTGGTCTAGACTGCTCTTCCTTTAGCCTCAATTCCTGCATCTCTAAAATAAGCTCAGAGCCTTTCAACAGCAGGATTTTCTTAGGGACTTTCTATCCCGTAGTAGATGCTTGGTAAATATTTGTTTACAATGTAGGAAAACAACACTTTAAAATCTATCTAGCATCTTTGAAACAGGGAAAAAGATTACTTTCCCCTAAAAAAGCAGGGAACTGAGTAGATTAAGGCTATTTCACTGGTAAGAAATAACCATGCCTCAAACCCACGCTTTCTGTGTCCTGCTGCTCTGAGTGTCAGCAATAACAACAGCCACCCTTTTATTGAGCATGTGCTCTGTGTTATTCACTGGGTGTATTAGTCAGGGTTCTACAGAGAAACAGAATCAACAGGATAAATCTGTATCTAGAAAGAGATTATTATAAGGTATTGGCTCAAGCAATTTTGGAGGCTGAGAAGTCCCATAATCTGCCATTTGTAAACTAGAGACCCAGAAGTAGATTCCAGTCCAAGTCTGAAGGCCTGAGAATCAGAAGCCCCATGGGAATAAGATCGATGTCCCAGCACAAGTAATCAGGCAAAGAAAGGATGAATCTTTCCTTTTTTCATCTTTTTGTTCTATTCAAGCCCTCAATAGATTAGATAATGTCCATCCACTTGGGGAGGGCAATGTACTTTTATCAGTCTATTGATTCAAATACTAATCTCTTTTGAAGAAACTCTCACAGACACACTAAGAAATAATGTTTAACCCAATATCTGGGCATCCCATGACCCAGTCAAGGTGACACATAAAATTATCACACTGGGCTAATAAGCATTTTACATGCAAGATCACAATCCTCATTTAAACCTGCAAAGTAAGTGGATATTACAGGAGGGGAAGCCAAGTTTCTGAGAGGTTTGAGTAACTTGCCCAAGGTCACACAGCATATTAAGTGCCAGAGATGGAATTTGGATCCAGGTCTGAAGCTCATGCTCATTTTCCTAACCACTTGTTACCACCTCTCTGCTCCTTTAAGATAAATTCTGAGCTAAAGATAGAGCCAGTGGTAAGAAATCTAGTTCCTGACTGAGTTAAGTTCCCTGGGCCTGCTTGAATGAGAAAACCATAGGTGGGCCATTTATTCACATTTGCTACTCTAATTCACACTCTGACCATTGGGAACTACGCTCAACATTGGCAACTAACCTCAGGGAACAAAGTAAGGCTCCCCCCCGCCCCTGACTCCATCTTTTAGCAAAGCAACACATGTTTATTAGGGAAAGTACAAAATTTGCAAACTACAAAAAAGCATCATAGCTCCTCTAAAAATTAAAAATAGAATTACCATATGATCCAGCAATTCCACTTTTAGGTATATACCTCAAAGATTGAAAGCAGGGACTTGAACAGATATTTGTACATCCATCTTCATAGCAGCATTATTCACAACAGCTAAAATGTGGAAGCAACTCAAGTGTCCACTGACAGATAAATGACTAAACAAAATTTGGTATATACATACGATGGACTATTATTCAGCCTTAACAAGGAAGGAAATCCTGACACATGCTACAACGTGGATAAACCTCAAAGACACTCTGTTAAGTGAAATAAGCCAGCCAAGAAAGAATACTATACAAGGCTACTTCAAAAAGTTGGTGGAAAAATAGAATTAAAAGATAATGTAAATCTTTCCATGAACTTTTAAAAGTACACTTTTATGATTTCACTTATATAAGGCTCCTAGAGTAGTCAAATTCATAGAGAAAGAAAGTAGAAAGGTGGTTGCCAGGGGCTGGGTGGAGGAGGGAAGGGAGAGTTTCTGTTCAGTACAGAGTTTCAGTTTTGCAAGATGGAAAGAGTTCTGGAAATGGACTGCAGCCATTGTTGTACAACAATGCGAATGTCCTTAATGCTACTGAACCATACCCTTAAAATTGTAAATTTTATCTTATGTATATTTACCACAATAAAGTATAAAGAAACAAGGAAAAAACTACCCATGATGTCTCATTGTAACCCTATTGATATGTTGGCATGGTGCCTTCGAAGTCCTTTTTCTAATCTTAACCTTCTGATAGGTCTTTTTGACAGCTTCCCGTCTTGTACATTACAGGAAGATGTTTTTGCACAGTTGTGGGACCCAAAGTGGCCATTTTAAGCTACCCATCAGATGTGGAGACCTGATGTGTACGTATATTAATATCCACACGGCCTAGGAGACAAGAGGTTCTCAGCAAAGATGCGACTCACAGAACACAGTCATGGGGACTCCGAGGTACCCTGATTCTATCTCCTACTGATGAAGGATCACTGAGGTCATCGCACTTTTGCTTAAACCTTATCAGCGATGGCCACCTCACTACTGGAGACAGCTTATTCCATTTTTAGAATCAAACATATCCAACCCACTCCTCTCATTTTAAAGGAAAAGATGGAGAACCATAGATCCTATTCTGAGAAAGCTGTCTTCTCTAATTAAGGATTTTCTTTCCGAGTGATTGTCTTTACAACGGACTGCAAAATGGTAGCCTGTGGGTCGACTGGTGGATGCATTTTATTTGGCACGGGATTTAAAATTCAAGACATTTTTCGTAAAAACTCAAACTTCTAGCTTTTCTTGTAATGGAAAAATCTGACAACACTGGGCTAGTATTTCCACTTGGCAGCTGAGGGGTACGCACTCCCTAGTTTGCCACAGTCTTTAATTACCCGACCGGCCCTGAAGCGTTTAAGGTTGCGACGCCTGCTTGAAAGAGCTTCCAGGTGGAGCAGCGCGCTTCGGGCGCGCCAGCCAGGGCAGGATTCGGCTCAGCTTCCTTCCATCACCGACAAGCCCGAGCCTCCAGCCGCGCTGAGGCGACACCGCAGGGTCGGGTCTGAGGCTGGCGTGGGGGCGTCCACAAGGATCCGCGGACCCTGCGGCCGGGGCCAGACCAGAGCTGCGGCCGCACCAAAGGCCCCACTCTGTCGCATATCTCTAGGGGCTACAGGCGAGGCTTCGCACGTCCGCGGGCCGCGACACCTACCTCGCGGGGCAGGCGAGGCCCGAATGCACTAAGAAAAGGGACCGTGCCCGGCACAGCGCACGGAGCCCGACAGTCACCCGGTCGGGGGACGGTGTCTCGCAGTCGCAGCGAGTGGCTGCTGAGGCTCCAAGGGAATGACAACTAGGTGGGCGGCCCTTCCCCACGTAGCCTGACCTGCCGCGGCGACCACCCGCGTCGGGCCCGGGGAACCCTGCACCTCAGCCGGGACACGGTCGCGGAGACCGCGCCGCTCACGGCCGGGCGCTCGCGCATGCGCGTCGACACCCAGGCCGGCCGGGACAGTAGGGCGGTCAGGTGGGTCGAACCACTGCGCGAGGGGGGGAATCCTCGGAAGAAGGCGGGGAGGACGCAGAGAGGAAGAAAAGGCCAAGACAGGACCCCGAGCTGCACTTGACTCTTAGCGATTAGGGCTTTGGGATCCAGAAGGGGCACGGGTGTTGACGTCGACTCAGCGCCGAGCTTCGTTGTAGTCTGCACCCCCCTCGGCTACTATGGGTTGATCCGGAAGGTCAGGCGAGCGGAAGCTGCGCAGGCGCGCTGTGGGCGGCATCATGGCGTCCAGGCCCAAGCGGCGGGCCGTAGGCGGTGGGGATCCCCTGCCGCCGGTCGTCCCGGCCCAGCGCGACGAGGAAGAAGAGGACGATGAAGTCGAGGATGAGGACGAAGACGATGAAGACAGCGACGAAGAAGAGGAGGAAGACGCCGAGATCGTTGGCGAGGTGAGAAGCACACGCGGTCCCAGTTGGGTTTACAGCTGAGAAAAAGCTTTCCGTCAGCGACAGCCGTGTGAGGACGGCGTGCGCTGCCTGGTGGGCGGTGGCCTCCCTGCCGCCGAGGGTCTGTGAGCGGGAGCATCGTCCCTCACAGGTCACCTCTTCACTTTGGCTCCTTCCCGCGAGTGCCGTCGCGCCACTTAGAAGGACTTCGACTGGCTGCTTTGCAAATTTTGGGGTTATAGAAATTAACGCTTCTTGTATTAACATGGAACGTCTACTGGACCGCCAAGGATTACAGACTTGTGTAATAACCATCACTGATGATGACTTAGGAAAACAGGCGCTTACGTCTACGGTTGTAGCGGTTTCTTCGGAGGGTAATTTGACAGTATCTATCAAAATTTTAAATGTAGACATCCCCTGATTCAGTAATTCTACTTGTAAGAATTTACGCTTCAGCAATAATAATAATAATAATAATACGTGCTGTTCCAAGCTCTGTGCATTTTGCGTTTCTCTGAACTTAGGAATTGTCACCATTTTACAACGGAGACCGCCCAGCAAGTTAAGTGAAAACAGCGCGTATATATAGTCTTTATGTGAAGGAAAGAAGAAAGAGAAAATGCACGTTTGATTATGTGTGTTGAAAACTTCTTGAAGGAATAATTTACTTTTGGCCTATGGAAAGTAGAAGTGTGGGATGAGTAATAAGATTTTTTAACTTTCTAACCTCTTCGCTCTTGTAGTTTTTACCCTTGGCATTTATGACTTTTTTGATTGAAGAAATTGTGGCTTTTAGGGTAGTTTCCTATAGTGAAACACTTAGTGGATACTTATTCCGTTGTTTATTTGAGGGAGGCTTTTATTTTCTGAGATGTTCAATAATCCACTAGTCATTTTCCTGACGTAGAAATACATGAGAGGGGGCTGGCTGGTTAGCTCCGTTGGTTAGAGCACCATGTGATTACACCAAAGTCAAGGGTTTGGATCCCCTTACTAGTCAGCCACCAAAAAAATAAAAATTAAAAAAAAATTCTATGAGAATTATTCTAAGAATTCAAAATCTGCCTCAGATCTTTTTTGAAACAAGATGGTGTATAAGTAAATAAGGAAATGTGCACAGTTATTTAAAGTTTTAGGATTTTAAGTAGTAAGAGCCTGATTTAAAGGACAAGGTGAGGCAGCTGGCTGAGCAGTGATAGAAAGTTGTTGTGAGAACTTCAAGGAGAAGTGGGGGTAGGGAAGACGAAAAGAATAGGCCTGTTTAGTTACGGTTCCTCTGATCATGTGGTTGAGACTCTTGTTTGTGCTCAGTAGAACCCCTTGAAGGATAGCTTCAGCAGAAAGGGGAATTTGTGATAAAAATGCACTATCTTACAGATCTCCAAGGGCAGGAAAGCAACTAAGCCTCAGGAATAGACTGGGTCCCAGAACCTGGAATGCTATAGAGAACCCTAGAAGTCCTTCATGTTTTTCATCTTTGCTTTACTCTTCTGTGTTACATTCAAAATATTTGGTTTTCTATTTCTACTTCATAGAGAAGAAAATAAAAAATGCTGACAATTTCTGAGATTTTCATTCAAAAAAACCAAGAAAGCTAGATGCCACCATAGTCTTAATTCTAAATTCTAAATCACCTGGGGGGTGAGTGACAGGGCTCCATCTACCAAGATGATTGTTCCACTGAAACCATATGGAAGGGAGCCCATGCCCATGGAAAGGAGTGCTGGACACATAATCCATTTGGTATCCATTTCAATGGTGGTGCCATTGTAGCCTGGGACAGGTTGAAGGCTTCTATCTACATAAGGAAAAACACTAGAAGGCATTTTTTAAATATCTTATTTTTAAGGAATAAATTCAAGACCTGAACAGTAATTTGTTGTTTGGTTTAGTTTGATCCTGTTTAGAACACTTTTGCCCAAACCCCCTGGGTCTTACTGCTCACATAATCTGGCTGAGTCAACTTTGGAGAGTCAGGATTTGAAGTCTGCAAGCTGAACTTAATATCCAGGCCCTGGTAAGTTTACCAGCCAGGGGAGCACTTAAATGTGCACAGTGAGGATGGCAAGACAAAAGTAGGTCTTATTTCCTGTGACATCCTTTAGCTGAGATCCAAATTCCAAAACTTGTATAACCTGAAGTGTGTGTAAATACACTATTTCATCAGAGCCTGAGGTTCAGTGTGTCATTTATCAAGGTAAGATTTAGGGTCCTCAAGGACTGATCTTGTATAGCATTTAAAATCATATAAGGTTTTATTTTTTGCATGAAGTAATGCTTTCATTTACTTGCAGGATATATCGGCGGCATCTTCTCTTACATTCTGTTGTTGTCTTGTAGATAGATCAGGGAGCTCAGCTACACATACCTTCTTCTAGTCCCTTGCACTCACCATATATATTTATATATTTCCTCCTGCTTTTGGGCCTTAGCCTGTGCTGTTCCTTGTGCCAGGAACCCTCTTTACTTGTTCTCAGTTCCCAGCTCAAGTGTCACTTCTTTAAGGAAGCCTTTCCTGACTTTCTGACTTCCTGTTTTTTAGGTTGTTATAGCACTGTGTACCTTTGTTTTATAGCAGGTATAGTTGCAACTTTACATTTATTTCTGGGAATATTTCCTTTATGTCTGTATTCCTGCCTAAACTAAGCTCCATAAGAGCAGGACCGTTCATGTCTGCTTTGTTCACCATTTCGTCTGGAGTGTCTGGCACAGTGCTTAGTACTTGGTGGTACTCAGTAAATATTTGCTAAGTGGGGCCAGCCCGGTGGCGCATCGCTACAGTGCGCCGCTTGGGAGCGCGGTGGCGCTCCCGCCGAGGGTTCGGATCCCACATACAGACCGGTTCCCGCTCACTGGCTGAGCGAGGTGCGGGCGCAACACCGAGGGTTGCGATCCCGTTGCCGGTCCAGTCTGGTACGGGCGCAACACTGAGGGTTGCGATCCGTTGCCGGACACGAAAAAAGACAAAAAAAAAAGGAAAAAAAAATATATATATATATTTGCTAAGTGAATGAAGTGTAGCCACAAATCCATGGGCTAAGTCAGTCTCTAGGCAATTCCAGGAACTTCTGAAGTGATTTTGTTCTTTGCCCACCCTTTTTGCAGTCAGGTAAATAATAATTTCTCCTATGTAGCTGCTGTGACTGTTTTATCCAGACTGAACATTTTCAACATTTAAAGTAGGTCACTCTGAGTGTTTTGTTTCACTCAGGCTTTTGTGTCACATGGGGAAATGGTATGAAGGTGCTTTGTATTCTTTACAGAATGGCAGTCTTGGCAATGTTTGTCTATTTTGAAGCCTAGACACTTAGAGTTCTTCAGATAACATTTTCTTCTTCTCCTTTTTCTGGCATCTTCTGTAAATGAAATAACGGATAGAGAAAGAGCCTAAAAGAATGGAGGTGGAAGAAAAAGAAAAATCTGTAGAGTGGAAAATAATGCCTGAGTCATTTTAGACAGTAATGTATGATGACCTATTTTGTGTATTGTTTACAGGAAGTGAATATTGAATTTGAAGCTTATTCCATCTCAGATAACGATTATGACGGAATTAAGAAATTACTGCAGCAGGTATTGTCTTTTACATATTACACATAAATTTGCTCTTGTAAGAATATCCAGGCCATTCAAAAACAAGCTCTCCCAAATTTCATTCTTTCACAATTCCCATTTCTATCCTTTCCACCTTGCCTGGAAGCAAGACTTTTTTCCCTTCTTTTCCAGGGCTAACCCCTCTATTCGTGCCTCTGCTCCCCGATCCCTTCCTCTGATTAATATATTTAAGTATTCTTTGTTCTAAAATACCCACCTTTTCATTTGCTAATTACTTAAGCTACTATTCTGTTTTCTGTAATTCACATCCAAACTTTAGGGGCTAGAACTCTTCTTATACACAAATAGTAGCCATATAACGGACTGTACCATGTGGAGCTACAAAATCGATGCTTGCTGCCTCTCTCACTCTTTACCCCAGATGATATGGCCTTGGCCCTCTACCCTGTGTAGCCTCCAGTGTTCTAGTCACCAAAGTCTCTGTACTTAAGTTCATCCTCCTCTCTTTTCCCCACTTTCTTCTCCCCTCCCCCATACTTCCTGTGTTACTACTGACTGCTGCTTTCCTGAAATTTCCACACCTTTAGTACCTTTGACTTTCCTGGGATTTTTTTTTTTGCTCTTGGGATTGCTTTTCTAGGTCATCTTCTTGTTCAAGTCACTGAAGTTTTATTATTTTTATTTGAACATGGAATTTGAAGTTTTATTAGATATTGCACTTTAGTGGCTGGCTGGTTAGCCCAGTTGATTAGAGTGTGATGCTGATAACACCAAGGCTTGGGGTTCAATCCCTGTACCAGACAGCAAAACAAAACAAAACAAAACAAAAAAATTATAGGGGCTGGCTGGTTAGCTCAGTTGGTTAGAGCATGGTGCTGATAAGACCAAGGTCCAGGGTTCGATTCCTGAGCTGGGCAGCTATCAAAAAGAAAAAGGAAATTATGCTTTGACCTTCATTTAAAATAATGTTTCTCCTTCTTTTAGCTTTTCCGAAAGGCTCCTGTGAACACTGCAGAACTAACAGATCTCTTAATTCAACAAAACCATATTGGGAGTGTGATTAAGGTAAGCAGGACAATTGTGTTTATTCTGATTAAATGAGTTCTTTATCCTTTTCACCTCAAATTGGAAGGAAATATTACTGGAGAAAGGGAAATTGTTTAGACGGTCATTGCACTAATCCAGGGTTATTAAATGCAGTTATCCAAGTAGCGGCAATGGAAGATGATAGAAGTGGACTGATTCAGAGCATATTTGGGAGATGAAATATGATGAGGCTTAGTCCGCGATTGGGTCTGAGAGTGAGAGGAAAAGGAGTCAATGATGACTTCCAAGTTTCTGGCTTGAGCAACTGGGATAGTAAAGATGGAAGAAGATGAGGTTAGGAGGGCCAGCCTGAGTTTGGATTCGTACATTTTGAATTTGAGTTGCCCTTGATACGTGCAAGCGAGGTACTGAGCAGCAGCTGGAGCCCTGGAGACTTGGAAGTTTTCAGCAGATAAATGGTCATTAAAGTCATAGAAGTGGTTGGAATTGCCCAGGGAGGGCAAGGGACAGACACCTGGTAATACCAACATTACTTGGATGAGTAAAATACATGGCAGAGCCAGCAAAGGAGACTGAAAGGAATGACGAGAGGTAGGAGACAAAGCAGCAGAGTGGTGTCATGCAAAGCAAGGGAGGAGAGCATTTGGAGGAGGAGGGAATCGTCATGATTGTCAGATGTTGTAGAGTCCAACAAAATGAAGGCTGGGTTGAATTCTGGCTCTGCTGCTTATTGTCTGGTGGCTCTTGCGGTTATCTGTTGCTGTATAACAAACTACCCCACAGCTTAGTGTCTTAGAAGAGCAGCAATCATTTATTTGGCTTGTGGATCTGCAGTTTGGACAGAGCTCAGTGGGGATGACTCATCTCTGCTCCTGCTCTGTGTCACATTAGCTGGGGAGGCTCAACTGGAAGCTGGAGGATTCACTTTCAAGGTGGCTTACTCATGACTGGCAAGTTAGCGCTGCCTGGCTGTTGGGAGCCCAGCTAGGATTCTGGGCCAGGGACCTCAGTTTCTCTCCATGTGAGCCTTTCTACTCTTTGGTTGAGTTCTAAGAACAAGCAGCTCAAAAGAACCAGGCAGAAGTGCATAGCATTTTGTGATACAATGTCAATTACACCATTCGTTGGATCAGCACAGACACAAAGGTCTACCCAGGCGAGGGCACATAGACCCCACCACTCAGTGGGAGGAGTGTCTAGGTCACTTCGTCAGAAGAGAATGTTGGAGAAGAGATATAGTTGGGGTCATCTGTGGAAGGTATATTCTGCCGCGATGACCTTAATTTATTTCCTTTGCCGTCTCTGACAATGAAGATGATACTGGTCCCTATCTTGCAGGGTGGGCAGGTGAACAACGAAATGAGTTGCTGAGTGCTTAGAACAGCGTCTGGCACATGGGAGTGCTGTCTGTGTATAGCTCTCACTGTTCACATCTTTCTCCTATTCCTAGCACCTATTATCTCGCCTGTCGTGAAAAACAAAACAAAACTTGCCAGTCATATTGAGTGAGCCATCTTGCAAGAGAATGTTAAACATCTTTAACATTTAAAACATCTGTTAAGCATCTTTAACAGACATTTTAGTTTAACGTTCCACTCCACCTTACCTTCAGCCACCTCACTCCGTCGTCAAAGCCAAAATTCTTGAGAAGTACTCTCATTCAGGGTCTTTACCACTTCTGTTCATTCCTCAAACACCCTAGTCCTGCTTTTACACCACTAAAATTCTGACACTGAATAATAGGGTTGTCAGCATCTTTGGCACTAAATGTAAAGAAAATGAGAGAAATAAAATCCACAGTGACTTCCTCTTATTAGGCCATGATAAAAAGCAGACCACCTGCTCTTACATCAAATAAATGTGACCTCGAACTCATTAGTGTCTTACAGGACCTGATGGTGTGTATGAGAAGCAGTTGTTTTTATCCTTGAAAGAGCTTATCATCTAGTGGGGGGATTCACCTTTTAAATGGATAATCACACAAATAGCTCTACAGTTATAATTACGGCTTCTTTGGCTTCTGCAGAGACACTTGAGGTGTCCCAAGGACAGAGACTTCTTGTTTCTAGGAGAAGGACTGCCCAGAACATTCACTGGAGCCCTTGGGATTGCTGGGGAGAGGGGAGAGTGGCAGTTGGACTCTTCTCTGTAGCAGCCAGTCCCTCGGGCCGTAGAGAGAACAGGGCAGGGGAGCACAGCATGCGGCATATGTGTGAGTCAGATAGAGAAGCTGCAGACTGAGGGGCAAGGGGTTACTGAGTTCTCCCTGGCCATGATGAATTGCTCAGTACTTAGGTACTAAAAAAATTGTGTTGAATGAAGAGGCTTAGGAGAGGTAAGGGGTGGGATGGGAAGGCATGAGAGTTGTTATTTTGAAGAGGCAGGGAAATGGGTCAAGCAGAGAGAGCTCTTACTGGAGAGGCAGATGGCTGTAGATGTGATTGTGACCCCAGAGCTATGGAAATGTTGTGAGGTTGTCGCCCAGGAAAGGAACCAAACATTTAATTAAGAATTCTAACAGTCTTTATTAGCCAGCCCGCGACTGCCTCCCCTAGGTATTTTGGGAGAGCAGCAACGAGCCTTGGTCTGGTGGAGTTTATAACTGCAGAAACCACATCCCGTGTGGGTTTTTTCAGGTGCAGGAAGCAAGCTAGGTAGCTAGGTTACAGAAGCCAAAGTACACGCAGTTAAGGCAGTCAAGCATATAGTTCCTGTTTCTTATGAAAAGGTCAGCAGTTTCTCACGTGGGGGTGTTGCCTGCTTGCATCTAAGATGGAGCTCTTACCTAAGATGGTGCTTGTAATGTCAAGGTTCTGTTACAGAAAGGCAGGCCCTGAGTGGCCCTGCCTGGATGGTTGACAGGGCCCATTGCAGGGAGAGGAACACTGAGGATGTTCCAGGGGGATGCTAATTACTTGTGAGCTGAGTAACAGTTCTTTGGATTTCTTAGGGCTTGAAACAGAGGGTCCTCTGAAGTGCAGGGAAACTGTCAAATGTTGGTCTTGGAGGACCAAGGGTGATTTATCTATTCCTTTCTTTTCTGGACTTCTTTCCCCTTTCTCCTTGATGAGCAAACAGGCCCTTGGTTCTCTCACTGAAACCGTTAGTCTCCTCTTGAGTTTCTTTCTTATTCTCTGCCTTTTTTTTTTCCTTTGGCAGCTGGCCAGTACAGGGATTCTATCATTCTCTATCTTTGCATTATCTTGTTTTGCTGAACATAAGACTTCTCTCACCTTGGCACATGTTAGTTGCTAGGCCTTCCAGGTCTTACTGGAGCCACTCCCACCCTTTCTCCTGCCAGCAGGAAGGAACTGGTGGTTTATTACAACCAGGTTTAGCAGACATGCTTTGCTTTGCTTATTTTGCTTTAAAGCCTGGTAACTGCTTTGGAAACTCGTTGCCTGAACTTCCTCCTCAATGATGTCATCAGCTTAGATCCCTCATCCCTCTCAAGTGTGTCCAGTCCTTCAGTCTCTGGTCTGCTTTGACCTTCTGCCCCCTGTAGAAGCTCATACCCACTCTATTCAGTGACCTGAGGTCCTGGGGGTGTGGCTCAACGCTGTGAACATCCTGCTAAGGGCCGCAGACCATACCTAACTGAACCAGTGTGCTGAAGGGTATGGCTAGAACTCCCTCCCTGCTTTGTATAAGAAGAGCAGCCTCATATCATTTCATTCCTTTAGCATGTATTCACCAAGTACTTACTCTGTGCCAGGCTCTGTGTGGGTGCTGGGGACACAGTGAGAGAGGAGTGAAGGACTTGGACAAGCAAACTGGCAATACGTGAAAGAGAAAATGTGGACTGTGCATTGAGGCCTCCAGTGGAAGGGCTGTCAAAGTAGGGCCAGGAACTCATGTTGAAGTCAACCATTTCCTTCTTAACTGTTTTCTTAATTCATTTCCTTTCCAGCTCTTTTTTTCTTCTCTCCTGCTCATGTGGTAGGTATAAGTGGCACCCAAGCATTGTTCAGCCTAATGGTTAAGACTGGCAAGCACTCTGGAAACATGTGAGTTTTAGGTGAAGCAGTGCAGGTCAGCAGAGCAACAAGCAAGGGCTGGCTCTAGCCAAATCATTTGGAAAACTTATCAAAATGCTTTATTTCATGAGGTTTTACCTTTTCTGGATTCACAGTATATTGGGAGTCTGGCAAAGGCAAATGTCTTAAGGATCTAGTATAAAGAAATTTAGAGTGGGATGAAATAGTCCAGAATATAAAAAGAGGAACAGAGTCAAGGGAGGTAAAGTGATAGGAGCAAGGTCACGCAGTATATAGGACATGATGCTGTTCTAAGATAACGGCATAAGACGGAGTTTTACTTTTGAAAAGTGGAAAGATAAATGTGGCCTAGATTCCAAGACTTGGTGTAATATTTCTCCTCAACCAAATATAAAATTTTAATATTGTTTCTTTTTAAAACAGCAAACAGATGTTTCAGAAGACAGTGATGATGGTGTGGATGAAGATGAGATTTTTGGTTTCATAAGCCTTTTAAATTTAACTGAAAGAAAGGTTGGTTTCACCTGGTAGCATCCGAATGGTTTTTAAGGCCAAAACCACTTTTATTTAATGCATGGTAAGAGGGTCTTTTATGCCAGATAGTGGTAATTACTATAAGGATGTATGCTCTTGAGAAATCTTATTGTAATTCTTTTTCAATATGGTTATGGTGTTTTGTTTTCAATAATCTGTACCCAGTTAAAGTCATTTACTGCCTGTAGTGTACAGAATCATCTGGCTTTTCAGTCACTGGTGTTCTGATGCTGATACTGACACGGGAGCTGTTTGTGTTGTGTCTCTGCAGCTGTTGTCTTTGCTACTTGTGTAGTGTGACTATTCTGAGGCTTTGCTGCTTTCCAAAGTTGAGGTTGCTTACTGATATTTACTTGTATTTTGATTCATTTCTTTTTATTAACTCACCGATGAGTTCTAATAAAAAGTAAAACAGCTGCCTACCCTCCTAAGAATGAGGGGCATGCTACACTTAATCTTTAATTTTAAAATGAACTTTCCGGTTATTCCATCTGTCTAAATGAAATGGACTAGAATTGCAATTCTAGTTGTGACTGAGTTATAACCCTCTTATCACTGACATGAGATGGTAAATTACGAGGTGTAGTTACTTCAGAGAAATACGTAAGCCATCAACACTGAAGACATACAAGATTTTAAAGGCTGTGGCAGGAAACTGCCCTAACCTGTAAGATAAGAAGTGATAGCTCTCGCTTTCAAATTTTCTCCTATAAGTGATGGCCTGTTATAAAAAGCAAGCCTTCTCTTTACTTTCTAGGGTACCCAGTGCACTGAACAAATTAAAGAGTTGATTCTGAGCTTCTGTGAGAAGAACTGTGAGAAGAGCATGGTTGAACAGCTGGACAAGCTTTTAAATGACCCCAGCAAGCCTGTGGGCCTTCTGCTAAGTGAAAGATTCATTAACGTCCCTCCGCAGATTGCTCTGCCTATGCACCAACAGCTTCAGTAAGAGACTTCAGAAAATGCCTTTGTACAGTGATTTTTTTCCAAGTAGATTCAGAAATGTGATTTAAGTGTGATATATAGGTATAGAAAGAGTTCTGCCTTTGCTTTAAGCAAGTTTAGTGTGAGAGAGGAAGAAACATCTTGTGAGGTGCATACATTATTAATAATCGACTTTTTGAAGAGTTTTGATTATTTGTGACAATAATCTTAATTGAAAAGATTTAAGTGGTATAAAAGTAGATGAATTTCATATGGAGTTTTTACCCCATTTGACTGAAGTTTTTCAGCTTCTTTACAGATTTCTGTATGAATAAAATGCTGAACAACTACAGCAATAACAAAAACTGAGTAAAATTCCTAAATTCCATTGTTATGTTTTATAATTAATGATCCTATAGGCCTGAGAGTGTCTATGGCTTCTTAGGGTTTTTGGTGGCTGTTTTTTAATGTGGGAGTTTGAATTTTACAAAAATATTCTAAATGTAAGAAGAGCTGTGAAATCTTCCAGGAAACTAAGTGAACTAAGGATTGTATTGCCTGTGCTTTGAAACAGAGGACGAAGTATAGACAGGTGGGAGTTTGAATTTTACAAAAATATTCTAAATGGAAGAAGAGCTGTGAAATCTTCCAGCAAACTAAGTGAACTAAGGATTGTATTGCCTGTGCTTTGAAACAGAGGACGAAGTATAGACAGGTCCTTTACAGAACATTATTTCTCAGAGGTCATAGCACTTGTGTTGTCATTTTCCTGTAATTCATTCTGCTGTTCCCCACCCTCTCAGCTCCTACTCAGACTGTACTTCTGGTGCCCTAAGTGTTTTGGTTTTTTCTGATCAGCTGGAGTTATTTGGTTTCACAGGAGGGTGATCTGATTTCTCCTGAGCCTCTATTAAAAGAAGGTTGAAGGGCATGGTTCTGAGTTTCTTTGTTTTTGCTTAGTGGTAGCCAGAGGCACAGGGCTATGTAGAATTTTCAGAAGGAAAAAGAAATTAAGGCTCTATTGCCATTCCATTGACTATTGCCATTCTAGAATTTAGGGTATCTATGTCTATGCAATTTCTTTCTTTTTGTTTGTTTTTTGGCGGCTGGCTGGGATGGGGGTCTGAACCCTTGTCCGTGGTGTTATAACACTGTGCTCTAACCAACGGAGCTAACCAGCCAGCTGGGTCTATGCCATTTCTGCCCTATGTCAGAAATTAGCTCTGGACTCTAGCAGTTAGAGACTGTACGAGTAGTAACATGCTTTAGTGACGTTGGTTGTGGCTGTATGCCTTTGTGTGTTTTAGTTAAATGTTCATGCTTTAAAAAATTCAGATTCTTATATATTTTTAACTTATGTACAGGCAGAGCAGAGATGTTGAGTGAATTTTAGATTCATCTGTTAGTTTCTGTGTATCCACAACTCAGAGCTTCATCTGATAAACTCATCATACTATTTATTATAAAAAGTAGTGCCATAATCAATGTAAAGTGTAACTGACTGCATAAATAAAAATCATTGCTTTATAAGTGTCCAGATCGAATGCCTGTTCGTTAAGCCTGTGTCACAGCAGAACCCACTGAAGATGCCTCACTTGTTTTCTCTGGGCTCTGGTTTGTTGATGGATTTCACCAGACTCAGCAGGTAACTGATCTGTGTGTATGCCTTGCAGGCAAGAACTAGTGGAGGCACATAGAACCAATAAGCCGTGTGGTAAGTGCTGCTTTTACCTTCTGATTAGTAAGACATTTGAGGAAGCAGGAAAGAACCATTCCAAGAAGAAATGGAGCAACCAAAAGAAAGACGAATTAATGTTTGCAAATGCAGAGGAAGAATTTTTCTATGAGGTAAGATTATACTGTTTCATCTATTTATTTAAATGTCAAGAATTTTCTTGAAGGGCCGGCCGGGTGGCGCACTGCTACAGTGCGCCGCTTGGGAAGCATGGTGGTGCTCCCGCTGAGGGTTCGGATCCCACATACAGACCGGCCGCTCACTGGCTGAGCGAGGTGCGGGAGCAACACCGAGGGTTGCGATCCCATAGCCGGTCCCGGTCTGGTACGGGCGCGACACTGAGGGTTGCGATCCGTTGCCGGTCCCGAAAAAAAACAAAAAGGAAAAAAAAAAAAAAAAAAGAATTTTCTTGAAAATAATCAAGATTTATTGTTCTCCCATTTTATGTCAAAGTCCTTTGAGTGTGGCCACTCTATTTTTCTGTGTCCCCAGTAGCTGGTAGCTAACGTAAATTCCTGGCACATGAAAGGACAGTCGCCAGCCTCCCCACCCCTACTGTTGGTGCTAAGTGTGGCAGGGAGGAGAAAAGCGATTAGCCTGCTAAGAATGATTAGACATTTATAATATGATTACTGTGAGATCTTTAATTCTAAAACCACACCGTGAGGTAGGTAGTAGACTGGGTTTACACATGTGGACATTGAGTTCGAGGGAGATTAGGGAAATTACCTGAGCTCACACAGCTGGTTGGGGTGGAACTGGGGTACCTGCTGCTGTGCCCTTAGTTGTGGATGTTATCCCACTGGTGGGGTCTCTAGCATTTTTTCCTATAAAGGTAGCTTGTACCGTGATGGACAACGAGATATCAGAGAATATTCTTTCTCACAGTCTTCATCTCAAAACCTTGAAATAAATCTGAGGGGGAATATATTTTCCTGAATTGGATGATATCACTTACTACTTTAAAAAACTCCACTGAATACTGAAGCACTACAAATTTAGCTCTGCTCTTGTGTTCCAGGAAGTAAACAGTATAAATAATTTTTAAAAAATTTATGCCTCTTGATCTTACTCATGTGAATTCTAAAAAGGTTGATCTCACAAAAGTAGATGGTAGAATAGTGGTTACCAGAGGCTGGGGAGGGAGTAGAGGGAGCGGGGTGGGTTGGGAGTTGGACAAAGGGTTCAAAGTTGTAATTAGATAGGAAGGATAAGTTCTGGTGTCCTGTTACATAATAGGGTGACTGTAGCTAATAACAGTGTATTGTATGTATGTCAACATAGCTAGAAAAAAGGATGTTTAGAGTTATCATCACAAAGAAATGATAAAGGTTTGAGGTAATGGATATGCTAAATACCCTGATTTGATCATTATACAATGTGTACATGTATTGAAACATCACACCATACTATAAATATGTAGAATTAATATGTGTTAATTTTAAACAAACAAAATTTATGGCTCAGCACTTCCGGTAGACCACTTCAGGGAAGTGTGTGTGGGTGTTTTAAGATGGCCTGGCTGTGCAAACTACTGCGTGTTCACATAACGGCCCCAGGCTAAGGAAGCAGCAAAGAGAGACACAAGATCAGCATTTGAAGGCTGATTCTTCTCATTAATTGTCAAACGTTAACAAGTCTTAATTTCACTTGTGTGTTACAAGATTATTTTGAGAATCAAATGAGATCATGAATGTGAGTGACTCTGGAATGATAAGCAGTATGTGAATGGGCAGAAGTACTGATATCGTGGAGCTGCTTGTTCACCTCTTAGAAACGGCAGACTTCTATCCGTGTTCCTCGTGTGGGTTTAACACCTGTTTGGTGAGCATGCTGTAACTTCTGCCTGAATGTCCTATTTGAGCTTATTTTATTCTGAGTTTTGCTTCCTTTAGCTGTCATTCTTATTTAACATATGCCAAATACAGTATTCTTTGTTGTATATTAAATGAGTTTTGCCTTTGGGTTATCCAAATTTTTAATTCATGGTTACTTATTTGGTTTAGAAAGCAATCCTGAAGTTCAACTACTCAGTACAAGAGGAGAGTGACACTTGTCTGGGAGGCAGATGGTCTTTTGATGATGTGCCGATGAAGCCCTTGCGAACTGTGATGTTAATTCCAGGCGACAAGATGAATGAAATCATGGATAAACTGAAAGAACATCTATCTATTTAGCCCATTTCCCACGGACCGTGATGGGCTTGTTTTTTTTTAAATTACCAGAAAACTCAGTGGAGATTTACTGAAAAACTCATGACTTTATTCAGATTAAGTCTTCTACAAAAAGTAGGGTTCTGTCCTGTGTGTCTATGATACATTTACAAAATATCTTTTTAAAAAAATTTTGGTCAAATTATGAATGGTTGATTAAAAACTTTTCCAATAAGAAGAAAAACATGGAGTAGTAATTTAAAGGACTCAGTAAAAACCTCTATTTTTTTTATTTTAAAATAACATACAAAGTGTTATTTTTCAAGACTATGCTGTGGGGTGTGATATCCATCGACGTGTTAAATATTTGCAAATCACTCCAGCATGCCAACTGTCAGGGTTAATTCTGGGACACTTATTGCATCTTGGCTCTGGTGAGGTCACTGTATCATGCATCTCTGTTCAGTAGTTTCAGGGCACTTATCACACATTTTCTGTTCCTTTTTCATTGTTGAAATAGGGGATAGGTGATCCATTACATGCTGTAGAATATCCTTACTTTCACTAGGAGGCAGATTACTGAAATAGTATTGTGGTGCCAGTTGCACAAATCTGTTTGTTTAAAACAAAAAAATTAAATTTGGGGATGGGTGGTGATAGATACTAAACATTATGTCTGGGCACTTCTCAGCCCTGAAGGATCTACCTGTGGAACTGGTATTTAATGTGAACTCCTCAGTATCTCAGTCTGCCTTCGTAGAATACTTCCTGGTTTTCACGTAACCAATCCAATTGCATATCTAGAATAAGTTGGCTTCTATAGTGTTAACGCCATGCAGTCGAAGTGCTGCCCACCACTAACCATTGGTGGAAATAGTACTTCCCCTAGGCCCATCACTATATGAGAGGGATCAGATTGTATGCTTGGGAGAGCCTTGGTTGGTAACAGAGGGGGTGTCTTTGCTGCTTTCTCATCTTCACTAGTACCACTCCATATCCAGCACTGAAGCCCAACACCTATGAATTACTCTTGGTTGCTGCCTTGACTGGTCACTTTGCCCATGTAGTATTGGCACATTCAAAATGGATCCAGAATCTGCAAGAGACACTAGTCTCCCTTCTCACCATTGCCCCTCTTATCTGTTCTCCACTTAGCAGTCAGTCACTGTGATCTTTCAAAGTATATAGAGAAGTTGTTACTCTTGCTGAAGTCTCCAATTGCTACATACCACACTTAGGATAAAATCACAACTTTGCGTGGCCCACAAAGCCTCACCTGCTCTGCTACCTGCCGTCTCTTCAACCTTCCCTCCCCTCCTTCCCCTTCTCCCCACTAGCTCGTCTGCTCCTGAAATGGCTAAGCTCTTTCCTCCTCAAAGTCAGTGCACCTGCAAGACAGTGCATTTCTCTGTAGCATTTTGTTCCTCTTAAAGATTCATCATGTTTTGTTTTGTATTTCTACACTGTCTTCTCTTTTTATGCTGTAATCTCCTCAAAGGCAGGAACATGTCTTAGGTATCATCCATGGAGACCTGCCCTTAGTAGGTACTCTTAACATAAATTAAGCTTGGTATCAGTATAAACATAACTAAAGACAGAATAAAAACCAAATTTGTCATTTACTCCTACAAGTGTGAATTCAAAAGAAACCCCTTTCTTCTCCATTAAACTTACAGTTCAGGAGAGATTTCTGAGGTAATCCTGATGTAGTTGTTCTCAGATATGCTGAATTTATGGAAGAGGACCCACTCTGGCATCTTCTTGGTGAGAGAGTAACTAGACAGGGGATGCAGCTGAGCAACTTGCTTATGTGTTAGCATTAAGTAGTTACCGGATCCATCAACATCCCTGGCGATCTAAAAGGCAGAGTTTTAAAGAAAAAGGATTTTGCATTAATATGGAGATAAATACACAGAAATGCTTGTTGAAAAATTCCAAAGTATTTCATACAGAATAATAAAACTAAAATTTGCTACCCATGTTTCCTATTTTCAGATGTAGGAAATAAACCATAAACATGCTTTGCCCAAAACTTTGAGACAGTGATGATGTTAATTAACTTCAGCAATCTCAGGGCAGTATGCTGAAAGAGTGCAGCTGTACAGCTAATGTTGTAGTTATGAACTAAAACTTAGCGTGTTACCTGCCGTATTACATATACTCTAATGTCAAGTGCTTTACACTTGATGTTTTAGTTCATTTAATCCTCACAATAATCCTGTGACTTATGTACCTTACTTTTTCCTTACAGATGAGGAAATCCATGCTGAGATGTCATTTTTCTCCATTAGGACTGCTTTAGGGTTTGTTATGTGGAAACACCACTATATTTCTCATACTGTGATGTGAAGTATATACCTACTTCTGTAGTGTGTGTTAATTTAAAGGAGCTATGTTAGCCTTCACTATGGGAAATAAATAAATGAGACATTTATTTGTCTGGCCATTCGTATCAGTTAAATTGAACTAATTCACAAACAGGCAAGATGAGAGATGCTCAGCTTCCCTTTTGTAATGAAAATATCTTTTTGTCCTTTTGGACAAAGTTGACATAGTCTGGCTTGGCCGTTTTTTCTCTTGAGGGGATGTATATTTAAACACCAAATCTTATGGAATTTTATATATGGCTTTTTAGTTTTATTTAAAGTTATCGTCAATAAAATCATCATCCTAGGTGAGAGGTTACCAGCAGAATGTCCTGAATATGTGAAGTGCAGTGCAGCCCATGACGAGGCAACCCTGCCCCTTCTCACCTGCATGAAGTAACCAGACAGAAGAGCTTTCTTTATGTTCAGAGTGTTCTCCTTGGAGCCAAAAGCAGGCTCTGCATAGGGAAGCTCAATTCGCTTGATAATTTCTAAGAGTTCAGCTCGGATAACATCTGCCATCCTGAGAGCAGAACAGCTGAGGAAGTAATCATGACACCACTTTTCAACACAGTCTAGCGGGGAAACAGGAACACAAGGCTATTTAGAAATTATTTGTCAAAATTGCAGCTAGATAGGAAAAATACGTTCTAGTGGTGTACAGGAGTGCTAGGCATCTATAACAATTTATTGTACATTCTTGAATGGCTAGGAGAGGAGCTCAGATGTTATCACAAAACCATTAATTTTTGCAATGATGAATTTGCTAACTACCCTGATTTGATCATTAGATGTGGTATACATGTATTTAAATATAAGTCTATACCCCATAAATATGTGTAATCAATACATTTCAATACAAAAATAAATTCCTAAAAAAAATACAGGAACAAATAATACTTTTAGTGTAAGTATGTCCTGTGCGATGTTTTTATATTCAAAAGGTATTCATTGTTTATCCAAAATTCAAATTTAAAAAAAAATTTGTCATAATCTCCAAAGAACCCAGGCCAGGAAGATGCTATCTTTAAGCCCTTGTACTCTCCTGAAAAAGAATTCACATCGGTGAGTGGAAGGAAGGCAGCAAAAACAAGCATCTGACTGGCTGTTGGTGACAATGCCAGGAAGGGAGATGGGGCCACTGGCAACACCTACACTAGCTGCTGAGGTTCCGTGATCCTAGTGAACCATGGATCGGTGTGTTCCTGATGCTGATCAAAAGTGTATTTCCAGGGCTGGCCCGTGGCTCACTTGGGAGAGTGTGGTGCTGATAACACCAAATCAAGGGTTAAGATCCCCTTACTGGTCATCTTCTAAAAAAAAAAAAAAAAGTATTTCCCTTCATCTGTGGCTCATAAGGGGCAGAGAAGATTGCATTAAGATCTATATTTTGTCTCGTGTGTATACAGCAAGGAAGTACATGGCCACAACATTTAACCAAAGTAGGAAGGAAAAAGCCTAGAGTATAAATTCCTCTGATTAATGAAAATATCTCATATTTTACTTAACTGCAAGAAAAGGATTACTACTTGGCTGACTTGGGAATTATGTTATAGTTAAGCTCATCTATCTACACTAGCTGCAACTTTTATATTAGAATTCAGCCACCTGGTTCAGTTTGAAGTTATTCTTTCTTGCCACCTGTAATTATTTAAGATGGACCTGGAGTTTTGCCTTGATCTGGGAATGGACAGAGCCTTGGCAAAATGGGCAGAAAACCCTTGTTTACCCTGTCCTGTCTGTCCACGCAGGCCTGCTCAGAGCAACAAAAGCGTGTACTTCATCAATCAGTGTCACCCATTCCATCCTGCTTGCTCTCAAAAGCCACCACCAAATTCCCTATGTACTTTCTGGCTCCACTGACAACTTTTTCATCTCACCTTTGAAACACGAACTTCCTGCTTGCCATATGATTCTATTGCCTTTCAAATTGCTTTCATATTTTTTACCCCATCTTTTGGAGCAAAGGAGAAAACAAGGGTGAGAAATATCTTCTTTTAGGTAGAGAACTCCTCAGTGGCTGCCTGTCTTTGGCAACTCCAGCCCTCTCTGCCCCTGAACCACTCGAATAGGAGCTTCCATTTCACTTAGCACCCTCTGTGACAATTACCCACTGTCATTCAGGCACACACAGGACTTCTGCCTGTGTGCTTCTGCACATGCCACTGTGCTCTTCTGGACACCCTCTGTGCTCCTCTGCTAAGCTCCAGGCAGGTCCCCTCCAGCCTCTCCACGGCACAGCAGCCTATCCTTGACTATTACCTGGAGCAGGGGTTTTGTTTTCCAGTGCTCTATACCTCCTCTTTCCACGTGTGCAATGAATGAGCTACAATATGGAAAGCACACAGCTCAGCTCCCACACAGTGGGCACTTGCAGATGTCTGTTCCTTGTCCTCCCCAGACCCAAGTTGTGCAAGTCTCTGTGTTTGCCGTCACCATGCCCCAAGCAGTTCACTCTGAAGGCTGGCTGAGTGAAATACAGAGATACAGGCATGCCATGGCAGCACACCAGAGCTCTGTGGGAGCAGGAGGAGGACGAACCTGTGGGTACATTTAGGGCCTCAAGTGCCATTCCATTCAAGTGGCCAAAGGGGCGAGAGATGAAGGGCGTTTGACTCATAAGAACATGGCATTATATGGGGAAAAGAAGGTGGAATTAGTAAGTAATTTCTGAGACTCACAAACATTCACTTACGCTCACTGGTAGAATTCAGAGTTGTGTCTTGGTAGGCCTTGTAGATGTTGATAAGGGTAAAGTGATCTCCTTCAGGATGTAAAAATGTCTTCCAACAAGTCAAGGCAGCCTCCTCAGCTCCATGCGGCAGATATGAAAAGCAATTAGGAGCTTTAAAACACAAACGGTCACGTGGTCAGCAAT